ATGTACGAATGTTGTAAATAAAACGTTAGGTTAGGAACTTGGTTTGAGAAATGCCTTATCGTAGAGATAAAATTGTGTGCCATGAATTTCCTCTTAAACAGACAAGCAGAACAATGAGGGATAGTGGAGGGAAAATTTGACAATACCTTGTGACCGAATAAATACATGTACATTAATCTATGGGTAATAAAATGGACCAGATGAAGCATCATATATATAAATACGCTCTGACAGAGTAATTCTTTTTATTCTGACCTTGTCGCCGCTGTTGAAGAAGTTGTCTTAGGCGCTGCTGTTGACGAGGTCTCGAGTGGACATTTGTGCATAAAATGCAGATGACAAGAAAACACCAAATTACCCTCATCTCATCATGAAACGCCCCCCTGAAAAACAATTTAAATATTCCTCATAAGAAGTATGTGAAAATTATATATCTGTCGAAGGACTTACTTTCATGCAATCAGCACATATAGATATGTTCTCGCTACATGTACATTGATTACAAAAATAGTCGAAAGTTCTTGTGAATTCTCGCTCTAATTTATCGAGAGATAAACTGTTGATCGTTATACATTTATATGCAGATATCTTCGATCAATATGTTTAATATTTTCAGTGTATGTTAACTTTGCCGTGGACAGGGAAAATTTGAAGGTGAAAAGAGAAAAAGATGAGGGAAGAGGCGGCAGAAAAGACGATAAGAAGAGGGAATAAAAGAGAAGATAACGAGAAACAGGGGGAAGAGAGGATGGGAGGGTGTGTGTGTGAGGGATACTACCCCTCGTTCCATTTCCACTTTCTTACCAATGCATAATGAAGGAAAGAACATAATACATATTACATAAACAGGTACTTTCAACCCCCCCCCCAAGAAAAAAGATTAAAAAAAAAAACAAATGCTATAAAGTGTTGTCAAACATCTTGCAGAGTAGGAAATGTCATGATAAACACTCAATGTCTCTGTTATTGCCGATGATGCAAACATTCAAATGTCTTTGCATATTTATGTGACACAAAATTAAAACTGAAAACGTTGAATTCACATTTGATTACCATTTGCTATCCTTTAAATTTAAATCAATAGTAGATTAGCAACAATTAGTGATCCTTGAAATTTGACTGTGAATACATTAACACTATTTCTGAGGCATCTAAAAGTAATTAAAAAAAAAACTCACCTTGTGTTTTTTATGATGATTTAAATTGATGTCCTAGATTAAAGATAAGTATTGCCAATCTAAATTGATGCTTGAGAAAACAAAAGTCAAGAGGATCTTATACTTTGTTTTTAATTGAATTGACGTGTCGCCTAGGTTGTATATACCGGATACGCACATTTGTAACTAGGCTAAGAGTGCATCATATGCTATGCATTTCAAATGGGGGAGGCCTATGAACGATTACGCTCATCTGTATCACTTTCCTTTGTGAGAAAAAAAAATTCCCACTATAACTCATGAATTGTATTTGTAATTGGTCAATTCAATGAACTTTAATCTATTGTAATCAGTAGGTCTTGGAAATCAGCTGGACACATTATTCTCGAGAGCTTACATTGTAATGTTTTTTAAAAAAAAAAAACAAAAACAAAATGCAAGTATTTCTTTAAGTCCCAATTTTGACCTAGACGCTGAGTTTGGCAAACTTAAAAGAGGTCTCGGCTTTTGAAAATGAATTAACGAAAACCAGATTAGCAAAATCAACAGTTAATCTTGTGTTAACTCTACAAAATGGACTCAGTACAAGATTTTAAAAATGTGCATTTACTCAAACGTATACAGGTGTCGTATAGAAAATTATACCCCGCTGTTACGTAACTATGTAGGAAATTTCCCCTTTCAACTAAATACTATTTATTTAGTACATGTACATGTATATACCCCCCCCCCTTGAACTTTACCGTGTACTAAATATTCCCTCAAGATTTGATTTTCTATTACAAAATTAAAAAAAAAATACAAATTCGATCAAATTTTATTTGAGCTTTCGTCTGATTTCTACATGTACTTGTTAGCTAGATTAGAAATGCATGACAATCGAGATAAAATAATATACACTTTACCGTAGCAGATGTGAAAGGTATCGATCCTTTATCGTCAAATATACGTACGTGTTTTCCCAGTATTAAAACGTTTTAATTATTATTTCAGTGTGTGAAGGTCTGTATTCAGCCCGTTTTCTGTGGTCATACCTTTTCCTTTCAAACGTTTCCGGGGGGGGGGGGGGGTATTGTGTTTACAAATTGTAAAATGGTGTCGAGATACAAATAAACGAAATGACAATTGCCAGATATAAATATGATGACCCCTGGCTAATGATATCAAAGTCACAGAATATTATAAGGTGTAGGAAGAGCAGTGGATCTAGATGAAAGACTTAGTACATATAAGCATGTTCCTTTCTTTCCGTGCAAATGAGTGTGTTCCTTGTTAGAAATAAATTTCAGTTATTTGGACTTACACTTACAACTACGGATATCAACAACAACTTTAACAATAAAGTTGCTTAGTACATTGAATCTTTTTAAACCTCGCTAAAGGCACTCTACAGAAAATATGCTCATGAAGAGACCCTAAGAGGCTATTGTAAGTGAAGTTCTTAGTAGACCTTGACTCTGTACTTGTACTTACTTACACACACTGTAGAATACGCTGATAAGACTTCTATAAACAAACCACTTTCTCAGTCATAAAAAAATTCTGGTCCAGGAGTAAATTAAAAGTAGAAGACGAAAATGAGACAAAGCTGATTTTTTTTTTTTTTGCTTTCGTAGTTTGTGTAATTGGTCATCAATCAGACACTACAGAAATGAAAATATCATAATGTAAAAACTGGGAAACTACTTTTGCCACGTACCTGGTTTTCGTACGTCCTGTTTATTATTTTTCTTCAGGTACAACGACGTGTATATTTACCGTGTGACGTTTATCTATTCAATCTGTCTATTCAGGTGAATATTCACTGAAGCGTGTGGATTTTCTAAAGATTTAAACTTCCCACCCTCTCTTACATTCCTTAAAAAATTACCGGACATACATTCTCTCTCTCTCTCTCTCTTTCTCAAATTACAAGTTCGAAATACTTCAAAATAAAGAAAACACTGTCAGGAAAAGAATAAATCTTTAACTTCAATTCAAAAATTATGCTGTCAAAATGGTTAAAACACAACTGTACCTTTGAAAAAATTAGGTTCTATTACACAAAAATTAGGCATACATATCCAGAAATTATCCATGTATAAGTAAAATCTCCCAAAACAATTCATTTCAACGTAAAGGAAAATGACGTCACAATAAAAATACCCGCGAAATTCAACGCATTAATCTTTAACAATATTATGTCGCTAAACACAAATATAATATAACAATAATTTTTATATGTTGTTAATTTTACTTTCCCTATTATATAAAAAATATATTTATGTTAACTTTTAAAAATCTGAGACTGCTTCATAATCTTAGGACCAGAGCAATGGATTTGAAAGCTAACTTTCAGGCGCCTCAGAGTTTTCACATACGTAAGAAATATTTAAAATCCCATATAAATTGAGAAAAAAAAAAGTTCTCACTTTATACGTTTATGTATTATGTACAACCTCCAACATCCCATGTACATATAAATTGAGAAAAAAAGTGTTTTTTATTAGATCACTTTCTTCGTTTATGTATTATCTACACGTACAACCTCCAAACAGGGGGAAATTGTGTCATTAAATTCCAACTGGCAAGTGTAGCAAGTGTCTGTTGAATACAGGAAAACACACACATTTATTTGTTCACTGTATACATATACAAAGTAAGACTTACGGGGAGGGGGGGGGGGTTCATGCACATAGCAAACGATTGCTTTTATGAGAATTTATTATTTTCTGGTTTACATTTCATATCTACATGTATTGCCTGTAAACTTAGGTGCATTATCAATACAATTAATTAGATAAAAATAAAAATAAACCGAATTACTTGAAAATTCTCACCTTAGTATTTCTTTTCCATCACTCTGTATCCATGCGATTTTTCAGAGAGGCACTAAATGCGTATTTTACACGATATTTATGTACGTAGTGAAATTTTATATCTGGTTGTCGTTTTACAGAAAATGCTTGTGACCAGGATTAAAAAAAAATCTATTTTACAATACGACAGGTAGCTTTACATGTATTGTTTTAATCCTTTTTTTATCTGTGAAGACGAAGAATTCAAACATATACAGAATTCATGATTTCTTTGTTCAAGTTACTTATAGTGAGTAGTGTTTATAATCTAGTGGATTTTTTAAATGTATCCCAAAAATAAAATTTTGCATTTACATATACATGTATGCCATGTTGAGAGTACTAGCTATAGTGATATTGGAATCAGTGATCAACAAATCTGCCCCCCCCCCCCCCCAAACTCAGCAAAAAAGCTAAAATTCATATAGGAGTATTACGCACCATAAATTATTTTCTTTCATGCATACAAGTAATGTGGATAGAGGAATGTTTAAAAGTCGAGATTTTAGCATTTATTAGAATGATTTAAATATGTGTATAAGATACATGTAGTTAAGACATACTTTAGTCAGCTCTTCCGGCCGCCCAAGTTTTGCTAAGATTGCCAAATCTTTGCACGCTTCTAGTTACGGTCTTGAGTCTATAAAACTGTACTTAAGTCCTACTTAAGCATGGTCTTAAACTTAAATACCCTTTACAATATGTATGTTACGACCCCCTGGTTGCCGGAGGTGTTTACCATTAACCCTTTCCCTTGAAACTCAGTTCAACATTTCGATTTTTTTCTTAAAAAAAAGTGCTTTTAAGTATCTGGCACTTATAGAGATACATGTACATGTATCCTTGATTTTTTTTTAATATGAATTATGGTTACCTCACTTTCTTTTAAGTTGACAAAAAGGCCACTTTTAAATTAAAAACGTTGGATCACTTACGAACATTGTACAGAATGATATATTATAAAGTGCACCGATAATTATCAGACCATATTAAGTTAAGCATCCTTGTAAGGCACCGATTCAACGTAATCACATGAACACACTTCCAGGACAACATCTGATTATCTGTATCCTATGTGGAGATTAAGGTATTCATGAAAATATAAACACCGATATGACAAAATAGGTAGATGGACTGTTAGAGTCATTTAGTTGTCTGGACTTGGCCGACACGGAATGAAGCAGTAATGGCACCTGGAACGTCTTCTCGGTTACCTTCGAGGAAATCGTGTCGACATCTCTTGAATTTGATTTTTAGTGTTCGGAACATCCTGCTTATTATAATAACACCGATTATTTTGCTTCCGATTCTTTTACTGGTGGAAGGAAACGTAAGTGATTTTTTTTAAAATTAATGTTAATCTGTACATTTACTTTCAACTGTTGCGCTCTGCTTTATAAATATTTCATGACAGTGTGTAAACTATTAATCATGTCGATGGATTGGATAATTTATTCAACATCATCTTATCACAGTGTAAAAGGGCGAGTTTAAAAGTGATAATTAACCCCTCATCTAGCAAATCCAGCTTAGATGAAGTGTACTATTAATGACAGAAATAATTTGGGTATATTTTTATGTCATTTGGGTTGACACAGTTTGCTTCTCGGCAGCTTGTTGCCATGAAATAACCAACAATAGCCGCCTCAATGAATGAATAATCCAGTGGAATGTGTACTTACATTTGTGAAAATAACGTCTTTAGGGTGGACGTTAAAAGGTTACTGAAATCTTTCTATGGTGAGGGCTTGTAAATAAGAAACAAATACTTATAATAACAAGATTAAAGTGTACATGTACAGTGTATTGTTCACGCGCATCTTTTGATGGTACATTATTTATAACAAGTAAATGTACATGTAGTGGCCCAACTAAAAATGTAAAATTCTTTTACATTGTATTATATTGCCTTAAATTGTTACAGTTTCAAACACAATAGCAAGTTCATTTCATTTTGTATTAAACTTGCAGCATTTTATTTTCTCTGCGCAAAATTATACACGAATTATTATTTTATAATTTAAGATAATTACTTCATGTACCAATCATTGAAATACGATTAAAATTGGTAGAACGATTTTGGTGATTTTACAGCAGGGTACTCCAGCAATTCTTTTTAAAAAAAATCCTTCTTCAACATCAAATTATTCTAGAGAAAAATGCTCTAACGATCTGAGGCACATTTTATTTAGAGGAAGATTTTTTTCGCGCAGAGTATAATATTTTGCGAAAATTTGAACACGCACGAGTTGAATTGGCAACCCCCCCCCCCCCCATATATCGTTCATGACTTTCCTCATTGAATTCCTTTACCGTTAACCCTCATTTATCCTTCAAAAATTACCCCAAGACGTAACACAAGACACATTCAAATGATGAGTCCTATCCAAAATTTCCAGAATTTTTTAATGTTATTTTGCAGAAAAAGTAGCAACGTTAACAGCTGAGTCTAAAACAAAATGAAATAAAAATTTTGTCTTTAAAAAGTTTTAGAGAATATAACCGTCAAATTGCAACAGCTTCCTTCACACTGCCAACCCTTTTAACATTGAATCTTGATTAAATAGACGACTTGTGTATATCGTAAGTATTATAAGCTAAATTGTCTTACTTGCAAATCGGACATTGATATTACCATGTAATTCATGTTATGAATAATTAATCTTAGTTTCTTTCTGGTCAAGGTATACCTTTTGATCAGAGGCTACTTATGTGGAAGGTACCTGCATAAAACAACTCATATTCAAAACTGTCAAAAATTGTTCACAGTTATACAATTTCTTTGGCACAGGCCTTGTTAAAATGAAATTTTAAGGTCACAGATACCCTGCAGCCTAAGATACTAACTGATCAAATATACGACAGTTTGTTTGCTTAAAAAAACTTAGACCAAGCTAAATCTGAAGAAAAATTCATAAGAAAGAAAAATGCAATTTCTAATTGATTTCCTCCAGTGTAAATTGCTTGTAGAATATTGAAATCATAACCCTGTGCCACTTCGTTTCACAGCATTCAAAAAGATCCTTTTCAAATCAAGAGAAAGCAAGACGTGTTTGTGAAACACTGATGCCCTGTATGGTAGCTTAAGGCCAAGGTTAAAGTTTTCAAAATCTAGGTCAAACTCCAAGGTCAAGAGTTAAAAAATGTTGGTACTCAATTGCAAAGAAATGCCTTGTCAAAAGAATTATACATGTGAAATATGAAAGCCCTAGACAAGTATCAACCATTCAGAAACTATGGCATAGGTTAAAGTTTTTTTCAAAAGTAGGTCATACTCCAGGTCAAGGTCATGAGATAAAGAATTATTATAATGATACTAAAGGAACGATCTCGTCAGAAGGAATACATATTAAGTGAAATATATTTAATCCCTAGCAACAACCGATTAAAATTAATAGGTAATTTCGGGGACATAAAAATGTCAAACTAAATCATCCCTTTGTATGTCGAGTATAAACTCAACTTGTTTGGATTCAGTCATTGAGTCTTCATATCAAGAAACATGAACAGAAGCAGTCAGTGTTTTGTGTGGATTTTCGATTCAAAATTATCCCGAAGATCTTATATATATATATATATATATATATATATATATATATATATATATATATATATATATATATAATAACTTATACGACTTAATTAATTTGCTCAAATAGAAATTCAAATGGCAAGCTAAGAAGTCCAGATCAATCGTATTAGTACTAATTAAGCAACTGTTACAATATAGTCAAATGGCTCCCTAAATATTAAAAAAAATACAGATCGGGTATGAATTCCGAACCCTTGCATTTACTGTATTGATGCAGGCCCATAGGAAGCAATTTCAGTTTGGGGGTCCACAACCATACATTTTCAGATTTTCAGTTGGGGGGGGGGGGCACTATCAACCACCAAAAATTCCTTGACAAGCAAAAAATGCCATGTGATGTAAAGCAAGGTTACACATGTATTATACAAGTAAATTTCTCGTTCAGAGCCTTCACTCGTTCAGAGCCTTCGCTGTCGGGTGATCAACCTGAACTCTTTTAATAGTCTAAGAAATATTTGAATTTTCATGCTTGCATACTTATATGAAATTTAACTTTAAAATACATTGTAGTTTGAAACAGGCGATTGATATAAAAAATTATTTTTAAACTTTTACGAACAAGTTTTAAAATACGGGCAACGTAGTCTTACACATACTGTAATGGAACACGACTTTTTTTTTTTAGCTCGCAAGAGACTGAAAACGAAAAATGGACATTTACTAACGGAAGTTTATCTAGTTTCTATTCCTCCTTTGCTATATATTTCTTTTTAAAAATGTGTCAAAAGAAACTTCTTCTATAATTCTGCTGTGACTAGAAGCATAATACATGTATATAGAAGGCGAAAATGTCAATAAAAACCTCGAGTTCTTTTTAAACATTACATGTATTCTAACATGCGTCCCAGTCAATACTTGTAAATTCCCTGTTCAACACCTGAGATATTAGATTGTTATCCTCATATTAATCTTTAAGGGCTATTTGATCCGAAGGCATGGTTGAAAGGACAATAAAGATATTGATAAACATTTTTATGTACTTGAATCTTCATTTAAATAAAAAATAATTAAATTTTGTATATTATTCATATTATATATTACAATTTGAATAGACAGCCATTTGGTTTCGAGGGTCGACAAAACGGTTTTTCCGAGAACACAGTCAATAAATGTTTTTTTTTATTATAATAACTTCTTTTGACACATCGTGCGCTGGCTTCCATTTTTGCGATACTGATCCCACGTACAGTGTAAAAAACGCCATGTGATCCAATATCAATAATCGGTAATATGTTAACCTGGAAGATCACGCGCAGGTGAAAATAATACTTTAATACATGTCCCTTTAAAGGTGCTTAGACACAGATTTGAAGTTAATATTTACTCAAATTTTCTGTGTAATTTCATGACTTATATGTTGCTATAGCATTTCATACGAAAATTTGATAAAAATCTTATTTTATCTGGAAGTTATTGAAACTTCGAATTTCTGGACGCGTTTGATAGACACATCCTTGCACTTTCACAGATTTTAACTTCATCCTTATTACTTTAGAAAAGTAGCAATTTTATTGTTTATTATTAATGAAAATTATTAAAACTATAATGCAGAAATTTCAGAGTAGAAATGTAGAAAGCAAAATCCTCTCACCAGTATTTTCAGTCCGTGCTCAGTGGTGTGTGCAGAGTTTAACAATCGAGCCCATCCGGTGAAACGTAAACATTAACAACAACAGAGCTCGTGCCCTGTTTACAAAAACAGTTTACGTTTCACGGGTGTATTCAATTTGTTAAACTCTGTACACAACTACACAAAACTGAGCACGGGCTGACAATACTTAAGTGAGTGGGTTTTGCTTTCGCACATTTTTACTCTGAATTTTCTGGATTATAGATGTAATATTATTCATTAATACACAACAAAATTGCTACTTTCCTTAAGTATTAAGGATAAAGTTAAAAGTTGTGAAAGTGCAAGGATGTGTTAATCAAACGCCTCCTGAAATTTGTAATTTCAATAATTTTCAGATTAAATAAGTTTTTAATTTTATTTTCGTGTGAAATGCTATAAAAACATATAAGTTGTGATATTACACAGAAAATTTGAGAAAATATAAACTTCAAATCTGTGTCTATGCATCTTTAAATGTTTTTCCTGTTTTTACGTATATGCTAAAAATGTTGAACATTTCCAATGCTTTTCTGAGCGGTTTAAAAAAAATCGATGTTGGACCGCTCAGTGAGATATTGGACCGCTATGACGTTTTGTACATCACACTATAGCTGGATAATCAATTATCGCAAACATGAAGCCAGCAGAAGATATGTAAAAATCAAAAGTAAAAGGTATAACAAATCACTGACCGTGTTCCTGGACTAAATGCATTTTGTCGACCTCTCTAACCGAACTGTTTGCCTTAGGCCTAACGGCCTCCGGCATTAACAGTCTCAGGCAAACAGTTTGGTTCTTGGGTCCGACTAAACACATGTTACCCTCGAACCCAGTCAATAATTGTGTATAATTGTATTTTTCTAAAATGTTAGATCTCAGCAAATCGGAGAGATAGGAATTCTTCAATCATATAATACACAAATACATTTAATTTAATGTTTTAGGAAGCAAAATGTGCATACTGTATTATTGTAATGGCGATATATTGGATAACAGAGGCTCTTCCTATAGCTGTGACGTCATTGCTACCAATCATTATGTTTCCAATGGTCGGACTATTGAGCGCAAAAGATGTGTCAAACAAATATCTCAATGTAGGTATTCTTACAGTATAATATCTCAATGTAGGTGTTGTTATTACATTTATTAAATCAGGATCATTTCATTTTTTTTTTATATTTGTTTACTCTTTTCAATTGTGGAACTTTTATTTAATATACTAAGTTTCTACAATTTCATGTCATTTACCTTTTAATGCTTAATTTAATAAGACCGTTGACTAAGATCAACATTTGATTAATTCAATGTCATAATAGCAAAGTTAGTAAAGGGAACTACTTTCAGGACACGGCCATGTTGTTTGTGGGAGGATTGATCGTGGCAGCCGCTATTGAATACTGGAACATACATAAACGTCTCGCCCTCAGGGTGCTCATGCTGGTCGGATCCGAACCAAGATGGCAAGTTTTGTCAGAAAACGCACTTTGTCTGAAAACGACTGGCTAAGTGTAACATTCAACGAATTATAACCTTTCTTTCCACGAAGAAAATATAAATCAATAGCTTAACATGTAGTAATATACACGTATGTTTAAAATCATAAATCTCAACAAAATACACATGTACCTGTAAGCATGATTTATCACAACAAGCTACATGTACCCATAAAAAGAAACTGTTATCTTTAATGGAAGTCAATTAAATATGCATTTTTTGGCAAATACTGTAACTGTATTTGTGTAATGTAGTCGCGAGGGGCAGAACATGTAATTCTAAACTTAGTGACCGATTCTAGATTTAAAATCACAGTCAAGAGTAGTAAAGTGAAAATGGATCTCATTGTTATATAAAATCATTAAAATTGTTTTGATTTATTTACATTTTACAGTTTAATATTCAATTTCTATCAGCAAAGGCGCTCGCTCCCTGATCGGAAGGTCGAATCACGGCCGCGACTGACCTTATTCGATAAAAATAGGTAGCAACTGCTCCTTCGCCAGGTGAAGTGAAAGTTGCAGGTCCTTCGGATAAGACCTTTAAATACTTAGGCCCCGTGTCACGGTAGGCGTTGGCACGCTAATTAAGGGTGGTCAATTCTCAATGGCTCTGAGTGCCGAGTAAAGATCTAAATTTGAAACCCTTCACCGGTATATGGTGACGTCTCTATATGAGTGAAAAATTCTCGAACGGGACGTAAAACAACATACAAACTAGTGCTAATTGTAACGGGAACCGTTACAGATGTTCCCCAAACGGCTCCCCAAATCCCTTATGATGCCCCATTTTCTACAAGCTTAAATAAATTAGAGAATACTTCTGTAATATAGACGGGCACTTTATTTTTAAGGGTATTTCATTGGAAAACTACTCCGATATAGCCATATGGGTATTAGCCAATCAAATTTCAGCGCATGTGCTTGCACATGTTTTCTACATTTTTCACTTTAATTTTCTTATAGTGTCTCACAATACATACAGTTGTGTTAAATATTAAAGAATTTCATTGAAAAATAAGAGAGATGTAACCCTTTAAGTATTAGCCAATCAGAATTCAGCATACGCACATGCAGGTCCTTGCATTCAATTTTGATAGTATTATAATGTAGGAGCTCTATGTGCCTATCCATGTCATAAATTTCATCCTGTTTTGTTGAAAACCAAGGGAGTTATAGACATTTAAAGTTTCAACCAATCAGATTGCAGCACACCTGCATGCGCGTGTTTTCAAGAAATTTCCTATATAACATGTTGTAGCACCTTATAATATATACTTATATTCTAAATTTCAAAGTATTTTGTCAAAAAACAAGGAAATTATTGAGATTTTTGTATCAGCCAATCAGAGAAGAGCGCACGTGCATGCCCGTGAGTTCACGCTAATTTGACCATGTTATCTTGTCTAGACTACTAATGTATCTTTATATTTTGAGTTTCAAAGCAATTCATCAAGAAATATCAAAGTTACGGCTTCATCAAGTATATCAGTCATTTCACTCATTGCACGCGCGCGCACGTGCATGCATGTGCGCGCAAAATGACCTTCGTTCCGAACACCTACACAACATGCCTATTAACCCTAAAAAGGTTTCATGTCAATCGGATTTGTGGTTCTATGAGAACACTCGCGGACAAAAAAGTACCGGAGAAGAAAGTAGAAAAAAAGAAGAATAATAATAATAATAATAATAATAAGAAACAGAGTAAAAACAATATGTTCCCAAACTTCGTTTGGGGAACATAATAATAAATCAATCTATCAACAAAGATTTAAAATTTTAAGGAAATCTTACCAGTTGCATGTATAATGTATCGCACAATGTTCTACGAATAAAACATCTGTAAATGACAAACATCTATCATGTATTTTTTTCCAGGCTGATGTTTGGGATGATGTTACCCACGTGGTTCTTGTCGATGTGGATCAGTAATACAGCTACTACGGCCATGATGATTCCTATAGCCAACGCCGTCCTTGTTCAGCTTAAAGAAACACGCGATCTTGAAAATACAGATATTGAAGATGAACTAGGTTTGTAAACTTTTACTTAAAAGTCAATTTAACAGTTCTTCTATTATACACATGTGCATGTAATGATCCAAATATCAGAACAGAAAAAGGCTAGAATACATTGTGGAACTCACCACCCTTAATTAATTATAAAAGACTTATGTTTGGATTTCTGAAGATACAAACGTAAAAGCCTAAGAAAAATACTTTTCTTGTAGTTGTACAGGTAGAAATGTCCGAGCAAAATGGTTCTTTAAAGGAAAAAGACCAAAAAACAAACAAAATGTAAGTTGAAAGTTTGAAAAATAGTTGCTAGGAATATTCAATTTATAGTTTTCATACTAGTACCGTATAGCGGGTGTAAAATTTGGCGTTTTCCTTGCTCAAAGGCATGCTAAAAATTTTGGCGGACACAGATTTTAATGACTGCAAAAGGGAGGAAATTCATCTCAGATGAGTTTTCAATGCGTTTAGTATATGTTTGATTTTCGATTTTCGTAAGAATTTTAGCAAAAACCAATAGCAGATGTTTAAGAACGGACTAAATAAGTTAGGTTTCTTGTATTCAGTACCTATACACAAGGGTGCAGATTTAGCGATTGAAATCTTAGCAGGCTTCTATAAAACCGCTAAAATAAGCCAAAGTTAGCACCCCGCTAAATATTCCCGTTATACGGTATTTCATTTCACTGGACATACTACAAGATAAAATACGATTCTTGTTTATGAAAAATTCTATTGTGTGTCGAAGCATTCTGCTTTTAAACGTCATATGTTTAAAACATGTTAAACATATTTTACACTTACAAATGTATGTTGCTCATTTTATGTAGTACTTTGCAATATTTCATGTATGTTACCCTTAAAGAAAAGATGCATGTACTATTTATAGTATGTATTCTCTAAATGAAATATATATGATATTAGGTTATAGATTTATCCAATTTGCAAAACAGAATATCATTCATAGAAAAAATCCTAAAACCTTTCAATGAAAAAGGTTTTTTTTTTTATAACAAACAACTTGTACTTTTTTCTCCATCGTTATGCATATATCAATATTTGTATTCTAGAGAGAGATTGTCTCAAAATGAGAAAACAGAGAGCCCAGAATATTTACGCATGTGCAAAGCCTTGTCATTAGGCATTGCTTACGCTGCTAATTGTGGGGGCGTGGCCAGTCTTACTGGAACCAATCCAAATGTCATTATGAAAGGTGTAGCTGACAAGTAAGGAAATATTTTTTTCATTTTCAATACCGGTAATTAAAATCGTAATAATTGATTTTGATATTTTTATACATGTTTGTGAAGCATAAAAGATGCATAATTATCAATGCACATAATTACTGAAAAAAAATCTTTAAAATACATACAGAATTTTCCAGGAAAGGAATGGTACTTCCCCCGTAACCTTTGCGACCTGGATTCAATTCTGTCTGCCGATTTCTGCAATTGTGGTAGCATTCATATGGCTCTGGTTACAGTTTGTTTTTCTACGATGCAGGTAGGTTACCTGAGAAAAAGGTGCCAAAACTATATCTAATAGAAAATACACCAATCCACTTTAAGTCATACATCACGAGTATAAAAAAAGTAATAAAAACGTCTGAATTAAATCTGTTTTTTATTGTTGAACTCTTTAAAAATAAATTGAGAGAGGGGAGATCTATTGGCTTTAAATAAAAGTACTTTTTATTTCATAAAATCTTTTAAGGACGACAAAAAGTACCCCGGAGCAGGCACAAAGAGTCAAAGATGTTATCAGAAGGGAATATTCTAAGCTTGGACCAGTCAGGTATGATTTTTCAAAAATGGCACCGCAAAGCAGAACATCTCCTTGCAAAATGGCACATCCGTCCCGATTTAAATTATTGCATGCGTTACATACGTTACACACTCACCCCTCCCCAACCACACACTGACACGAGCGTGTTGTACTTACTATATCACCTCCAACTTCATTGCGAGGGGATAATAGATTAAAAAGACTTTAAAACAACTAAAATCAAAACAAAATAACCAGGGATAACCATTACCTATTTGATTCAGCTTTGCTCAGGGAGCAGTCATTGCCCACTTTGTGCTGCTGGCAGTATTATGGATCACACGAGACTTGGGAGGTGTAGGAGGGTGGGGAAGGATTTTCCCACCAAAGTAAGTTTAATTATATTAAAAATCTTCACATTCTCATTCATTAAAAATGCGTAAATATCAGAAAAAATAATAAATGTCTTTCAGAACTGTTACAGATTCCACTCCCTCCATTCTCATTTCCATCAGCTTGTTCCTATTTCCGACAGTTATCCCTTGGAGATTTAGTGGCAAGTAAAAATTTGCATATAAAAAAGCAAAATGCTTAATAAATTTCAACTACTAAATGTGCCATTTTGTGGTGGAAAAGGGCAATCATTTTTGTTTTTGCAATTATAATGATGACCAAACATACTTTTAAAGCAGTCATGGGGAAACTACAATTTACTGTATTTCAGAAAGACATCATAGTAAAAGTGTACCAGCTCTTCTACCTTGGAAAGCAGCCGAAAAGATGGTTCCATGGGGTGTAGTGCTCTTACTTGGAGGTGGATTTGCCTTAGCTCATGGCAGCAAGGTACAAAATCAAATGAAAAATTTGAATCAATTTTTGAAATTTTACTAAATAAAGTGTTATTATACCTGAAAATGTGTTATATTTTGTTTTCCAGGCTGATATTTTTATTTAAATCTTTAATTTTTACAAGGTATCTGGATTATCAGATTGGCTTGGTTGTGAGTTGAGCGTGTTTAAGGATTTTGAACCCTGGGTCATGAATCTGGTTCTTTGTTTCATAGTGGCGGCAGCAACAGAGGTGACCAGTAACACGGCTATTTGTTCACTTATGATGCCTATTATGAGTGAGCTGGTATGATTGGTGTCTTTTTCCTTAAAAACTAAATAATAATGTAATAATTATCAAAGCTAAATGTAAATAAATCATTCAAAAAGAGAATTTTACAGAATATCACCAAATATACATTTCTACTTTCGATTACTAGTAATACCTTTAAACAAGGGCTGTAATTTCATCAGTTACACTTTTACACTGTATTTCTAGGATTTGTGAAAAAAAAAATTAATTACAGGTAATATTTCAGGTACTTTTCTACATTGTATATTACATAAACCTCAGTTCAATGCTAAACTTCAACAGAATTATTGAATTCCTTCATTTTCAGGCTTTGACCCTCGGTGTAAATCCACTATACTTCATGTTTCCTACCGCCATTGCTACTTCCTTTGCTTTCATGCTTCCGGTTGCCACTCCTCCAAATGCTGTAGTATTTTCCTACGGATACGTCAAAGTTGCAGACATGGTAATTCTTTATCATAAGGAAAAGTAACGCTTCATAACTGCAAATGTTTAAGAAAGAATTGATAAAATTTTGATTAGAATTACAAGACAGCAAAAATGGCACAACTTCATGGCCGAAAACAAATAATTTACAACACTTTGAAAACAAAAGCGCTATCTGAAACAATTCATTTTAATTTAACCGACCATTCAGAAATTCCACTAACATGTATAAAAATCAAAGGTTGATTTAATATGAAGTAGTAAAAAATTAATATTTGCTTACATTAACGTTTAGCATTGATCTATTTGATAGACTACATACATGTAAACGTTACGTAAATGTTCCTGGGTAAAAAATAAATATAAATTATGATGATAAAGGTACATTTTAATTAATTTTTTTTACATTACAGGCTATGGCAGGGCTTCTTATTAATGTTGTAGCAGTGTTTGTGCTAGTTCTGGGGACGGAGACATGGGGAGAAGCCATTTTTGGTTTTCATACCCTGCCGACTGTCTTTAAAACTGCAAACATCACTAACTCTAATTCTGCTCTGAAATGTGTATGATAATGGATCTCCTAGTGATACTTCTTTGATGGACAGCTATAAATCTTAATTTCGCAGCCTGGAATAAGTTCAGTATTTTTATACATAAATCCAGGTTTATCATTGTTGCAAATGATTTCTGTCGATATATATATCGCTAGCAGAAGAAAAATGGTACACATACACGTACATGTAGCAGTTACATTTAATAGCAATTCTCTGTAACCACTTAAACTTCTTTGCCACGCATGGTCACCGATTTTGATGAAACTTTGCCCATTATTACAACTTGACACCAGAAACATATATCAAATAAAATTTCGTTGCTATGTGTCTTGGTTGCCATGGTAACAGCCAGAAAAGTTGAAAAAATTGAGATTTTCTGCTACTTTAAATCTTTATTAAGTCTTAATAAAGACTAAGTAAAACAAACAAACCATTCTCCCAAAAACATGACACCTTGTTGCCACTTATGCTATAAAGAATCTATTTAGAATTAATCTCTAAGTAAGTGGTAACCATGGGTACATTTGGAATACATTTTAGATGCTGAAAAATGCTGAAAAACGCTCTATAGTCACAAATGATAGATGTTACATGATCAAACTCGATCAACAACGTAAGAAAAACAATGAAAAATATTTGACCTCATGTAATTACGCATTTGCAATATTATTCTAAAAATAACTTTCATGGTTGCCATGGTAACACAGTGTCACCATGCAAAATCTGTTGCTATGATTGGTTTAATGCTAATATCTTGAGGAAATACAATAAAATTCATGACTGGCACATATACATCCTTAGGACCTTGCAACACCGACAACATAAGAAATATTGGGATTAATTGTTACTTTGCAGTGTAACCATGGAAACAACGTACTAGTTGTTTAAAGTGATATTTTTTTGCTGCTTTGGGTATTTACTAACCTTTTAATCAAGAAAAATATTATTTGAATCACCTTGAATAGTACTTATCTCGTAGAACTAAAGTTGAATATCATATATTGATAAAGGTTATTGAAAAATACAACACTGTTGCTATGGTTACCAAGAAGAGAAAATGTTCGATTTTGTTAATTTTTTGTCAATATTAGACCCTATGTGCCAGCTTTTTGCATCCAGTTAGAGATTGGGTGATAGTCAAAACTGAAAGTCAGGTTAGTTGTTCACATATATCAATCATTAAAGTTTTGGGAATCTACATACAACTGTACGTATCCAAGGAAACAGAGTATTTTTCAGATTTTTATGCATGTTTTTTCGCCTTATTTCCATAGCAACGCACTATTTAAAGAATTGAAATTGAATTTTTTGAAATGTGAAAATTAGGGTCACACCAAGGCCTTTAAAAATTGATCATCAGTTATATAGAAATATGCTTTTTAAAAAGATAGGATAAGATTAAAACACTAAGAGAGTAAATTTAAAATCCCTTCGTGGTATTAAAACCATGGCAACCATTGCCAACCTATAAGAAATATCATATTTTGTCCTTGGTATATGTTACAAGGATCTCTTCTCTATTAATTGCTTGCATTTCAACCTATAATTGTTTTTATTCTTAAGTGTATGACTTTATAAAATTAAATGAACAAAATTATTACTTTTGAATACTTTGTTTCCATAGAAACGTATGTTATAGATGATTTACCAAACATGTTTATCATGCATTTAAGACACCAGGCCTTCAACTTTCAGAAACAGTCCTTGCCACTTGTTTGCTTTGCTGCAAACGTTAACTGGGGGACTCTGAAGATGTTGAAAAATGCCATTTTTCAAACTTTAGGACATGTTGCTATGGTAACCATGATACGTAGCAACCAATTTTTGCCTGATCTGAGTTAACAATATCAAAGACTTTTATCATAGAGAGTTTGGAGAAATTCTGAGACTATGCGTGCCACAGCTCCTATATAAAAGTTCAAGTCATTACAGAGAATGGCTCTTAACATGTTCTTATTAAAAAGACTAGTATACAATGTACATGAATGTAGCTATTAAACAAGATCAGTTTTGTAGCAGGAGTTTTCCTTTCTTTGTCGGTAGAAATTTCGTATTTATTTGAAAACAAGACTTGTGAAGAGTGAGATGAATTGTTTTTTTTTTTTTTTTGGTATTTGATTATAAAAGGTGAAGATAACGAATAGTGATTAATCTTGTAAATCCAGTAAAACAAAAAAAATGTGAACAGGGCAAAATCATGGACCACCTGAAACACCGGAATTGACCAATCACATCCTCCCTGAGTCTTATGTGCTGAACAGGTATATGGAGTACTCCGTAGTCAAATTTAGTATAAAGGCATTGACTTAACAAATGGTATAAAAAATGCCAGACAAAGTATGGCCCAATGTTGTATTTACAAACAAGATTATTACAACTGACTTAAAACGGGGTTGTTGAAATCCTTGTAACATAAACTTATTTGTCAGAAGTTGCCTTGGTTTAAAAATTGATCGTGCTCTGAGCATGCTCTTGCGTATTCAATCAATTTGAGTGACAATAACACCACAAGACTGTGATGATGGAATATTACTGCATGTAAATGGATAAGGAAATTGGCGATGGAAAAGCTGATATCAAATTGTTTGCCATACATTTTGGCTATTAATTGGCCATTATCGTCTGTAGTCAGTATAAAACATCCTTATATGAAACAGATGTAGCAGACTCTGTAGTGCCTTTAACTTAGAGTTCAATTTGATATATGGAGTCGACATGTGAATGGAAATAAATATTGTAAGTGATAAAACGTTTTCGATATATCTAAATGTCGAGTTGAAGGCTACAGAAAGAGTTTTCTCTTCATGCATCTATAAACAGTATAATAGTATCAGGCCCGTAGGAAGCAATTTCACTTTGAGGGGGCACAACACCATACATTTCAGTTGAGGGGGCACTATCAAGTATCAAAATTCATTGACAAGCAAAAAAAAAAAAAAAAAAAAAAAGGTCATCAGACGTTATTATTGAGGGGGCACAAGCTTATAGTAGTTATGTTTTCTATAGTATTCTATATATCGGCAAAATTATTGGGGGGGCACGGCCCCCCGTGCCCCCCCCCCCGGTTCCTACGGCCATAAGTATTTTTGTCCATTGAAAATTGGTGGCGTTCCAACATCAGTGGAAAGTTTCCGAATTGACGTATAACAGTATACCAAACAAACAGAAATCTTTTGATCAAAAGAAGGCATGATTTAATTGTCTGGCATGTTAGAAAACATGATGGTTTGGCATTTTAAAAAAAGTATTTATGTCTCGTTTTTCTCTTCACAAACAAACAAATATCGATAAAGACTGTCAACATATTCGAAGTGCTCCTATGCATTTTGAGGAAAATGTGGTTTGTGAACCAATCTTGATGCTTGGTCAATATATTTCTTTCGTTCATATATAAATTGCATGACTGTATGAATTGAAGAACAAAAAATATAACAAACTGAAATCCATAGTAAAAATGCTTTGATTTACTATAGTAAAAAAACGTGGATACGATAATAGTTAACTATAGTTAATTATAGTAAACTATAGTTAACTATAGTAAACTATAGTTAACTATAGTAAACTATGGTTAACTATAGTATTTTTTGTTAGGAAATTTACATTCAGTTTTAATTATCAAGAAATCAACTCGCCTAACTTTTAAAGAGTTATCACAGAGAAAACAATTAGAAATGTACATACATTGTATATGGAAACAACCTTCAGTTAATGTAGATTCAAGTTTATTTTATTCATGATCCCCCTGGGCTAGGGTGGGCCAGTCACGCAATCGGCGAACAAACTTTTACATAGCAAAAAACGGGTGAAATCTTTTTAAAATCATATTCGTGTCAAATACAGAAAAGTAATAATTTTTCATATTTATATTGCAGCTTCTTCAGGTAGTGTACATTTGTTCACATCATGACCCCTAGGCGTAGGGTGGAGGATCAAAGTTCCACATAGGAATATATATATATATATATATATATATATATATATATATATATATATATATATATATATATATATATATATATATATATAGATATATAGATAGATAGACAGATAGATAGATAGATAATCAGAAAAGTTCACTTCAGCCAAACACACAATGCAAAGCAGAACACTAACACTTAATTAAAGTCTAGATAACTTTACTTGTATATGGACCAAAGGTTTCTTTGGATTCAAAGAGTCAATTTGACCTTTAAACCAATATTTAAAAATGCTGCTTCCATAACGTGAGTAATTTATTCAGGGCATACTTGAAAGAATGCGTATCAAAAACGCTTGCAAGAAGTCCACGATGTAATGCAGTGTTACCTTGGTCATGTCAAAAATATTGCATTATCTTATTAGATTTAAATCTAGGCCTACTTGTCTGCACTTCATCCACTCATACAGGTTGTTGTTTTTTTGTTTTTTGTTTCTTTTTTTTTTTAAATATTCCTTAAGTTATTTTTTGACTCGTTACTACTGTCTAAAATTTGTTTAAAACTGCTTTCGAAAATCGAAAAAAAAACTTATGCGCGAGATTAGAACATCATTAAGTTGCGGGGTAGTTCAATAATCAGGTTTCTTTGTAGAGTTGTGCAGATGACAGAAGTCAGCTGGACACTGAAACTTTAAACAAAATCTCCCTAAAAATTCCTCTTTTCATTTCTGTTTCCAAAGCCGTATAACAAACTTCTACCATTCACCTACACTGTATCATGAAATTTTTTTTTTAGAAAAGATGCCAGCACCAAACTTGGAAACTGAGTGAAACTGCTTTCTGCAAACCTAGAAAATGAGAAACATTTATTCGCGTTCCAAAATTTTTATTCCTTTGTAAGTATACAAAGTTAAATATTGGGTTCCTCCATGATAGAAAAGGCAATAAGATTTTCAGTCATTTTGAAGAAAGAACTGATAGGATTGACGCAAATTTAGACATGGCAAACATTTTTTTGTGAAGTTACATGACTACAGCGGTATTTCGTTTACCTGGATAATAATTTCATTCATATTTTACTTTCACGTCCATTTAAACAATATTTCAGAATGAACAGGGCAGTCCTTTGACGATAAAAGTCCATTAATTTGCCCACACTTCTCACTTGCCGAAAAAAATGGTGTCATCAAGACCATCACTTGATAAAACGTCTCTTTTTATATATTTACCTGTTCTAGTTTACATTATCAGGTCGTGTTTTTTCTTAAACAAGGATTGAAATAATCTCCTGTACGGTGTGATAGGGGTAATCTATCATGCATCTTTGCAAATGATTCGAAGTTACACGGAATTATATCGTTTACGCTTCTATTTTGTCGATAATAAATAGACATTGCTGCCATGTCTAATCTTCAGACTGTTTTTGGATTATTTTTGACTATAAGAAATATCATCATTGTCATCTTAACCCCTATAGTATTGCTGCCACTTATTCTACTAGTGGATGGAGATGTAAGTACTGATTTAAAACCTTACTTCTAAGCACATAGTTTTAAGTAGATAGTTTAGTTTTAAGTAGATAGTTTCAGTGTTAAGTTTTGTGGAAAAAAATCTTTAAAAAAACCCCAAAGATATCCAATTTTAAATTCAAACTTTTTCAAAATAAATTATTAACATTTGCTATTCACTAACTTAGTTAGAACAGTATTTAGACTGAGATTTAGACTGAGATTTAGTAGAAAATTTTAAAACAAAATCTGTTATGATAATGTACCGGGAAATGAACAGGCAAATCTTTGTAAAAAAAATATGTTCTAAATTGAAGCATAAAAGAAAACGAATCAAATGTTGAAATAGAAACTTGAGATAAGGGAATCGGGTTTCATAGAGATACAAACATTACTTTCACTGTTTTACATGCAAATTACAGAGTGTTTCAACAAACATATTCCGAATTTGAATGTCTCTCTTATTCACAGTAAAAATATTTACAAAACAACATGGAAAGTTTCACGGCAAAAATATATCATGATATGGAAACAATATTCTATAATATCATATTTTAAAAAAATAAATAAAAAAACTCAGGTGGTCAGGTTTTCTTTCATATGGATGTTACGAGATCTCCTTATGAATATTGGTACACTAGACTATGCAAACAGAAAATAGCAAATACTAGTGAACAATAATGGCAAATACTAGTGAACATGATATTGTAAAAAGAAGAACCCAGATGAGAACAATCTTTCTAGGAAACAGATTTTTCGAATTAATTCCAAATTTGAACTGTATGGGACTTCAGAGACAAAATGAAGTTACTGATTGAGAAACATAACAACCATTCGGAACACATTATTAAGCGAGTAAATCGAGAATTGCCTCATGTCATTTTTTTACCTTCAAAAATGCTGTCTTAAGATTAAATGATTCAGCTTTAACATTGTAACTTTTGATCAATGAAATTATAAAGATATGTTCTTTATATTTTTGCAAACCTTGCTTTCATAAATACTAACTAACTTTTGTATTGAAAAAAGTGGAACATGTTTGCTGAAACACCATGTTTGATATTATTTGTAAAATGAAGTCGACTGTTTTCTGACATTGAAGTATATTGTACATGTACATTAACATTTACAAGCCCATGACTGAGCCATGCAGCTACCATCGAGTTTTTGTATTTCTTTTACATTTTGAATTTGTTTTCAAAAAAAGAAAATCATATTTGCAAAGTATCACCTAAGCATTATAGATCATTTTCTTTAAAATAACGGATATAAGAAATCTTAAGCCAGTGTCTTATCATGTATACGTACAATCGTTTGAAAAAGCATGCATTTTTATCAAAGATCACGGGATCTTGAGCACTTGAAGTCTTGATCATAGTATTTTTTTTCAACAAGGGACAGCAATGCATTCTTGCCATCTTACTTTATCGTCGTCTGACCTTGGAAATGCACCGATAACCTAGCTGGCCCACTTTTTTCTTGTTGCATTCATGACTTTATTTTAATATTTTAATACCATATGTGCATGTATTTGAACGTTTCAAATTAGTCTTGTTTGAAAATATGAACGGGACTTAACTAAACTCCCAAAAATCGAAATTACTTTTATAATTAGTAATACGAACTGGAATGAAACCTATTACTGTTAGTATTTTGCAGAATAGTGTTATTCTAGTATTGACATTGTTCAAAATTGACTTTCACGTACTTTTTCTAGAGTCACACCTGGTCAAAAAAGTAAAAATTAATACAGGTAAAACTGTCAAATTAATACAGCTTTAGTATATCATATATTCACATTTTCCCTTCAATTTTATTAACCAAACACAAAAGAAACGTCTCCAGAATTGCACTTTTTTGGGGAATGTTTACTCGATTAATAATTTGGAAGGACCACGTGTATGCTGTTCGGCGCCCTTAAGTATTTTTGAGAGAAATAAGTTCCTACAAGGGCTGTTCGGAAAGTTCACAGACCATGTCAATCTTTGTTATACTATTTTAAAAGAAATTTAAATTAAAATTATCATTTGTAAAAATATTTATTTTGTTGATGTGTGAAGTTTCATTCCAGGTGATTAGATAGAAAATCATGTTACTTAATTTTTAAATCAAGAAGTTTTTAACCACGGAGCACTCTTAACAACGATGTAAGGTCAAAAATATAGCGTCAAGAGTTTCTCAAAAATACTCTCCCTATACATTTCACACAGTATAGTCCAATACCCACTCATTAAAAACCTTTTTCTATCACTTGAAATTTATTTTTCTAACAATTGTTCCAGTTGCATAATTTCGTTTGTCAATGTTTTATTTCTTTTACCGCTTAACTGTGCTTTCACAAAATCAGCAACTGAGAAGCGCCTATGTCTTTCCTTGAGTTCAACTTTTTAAAGTTTTTGTTAAGATTTTTACAGTTAACCCGTTTCTTCACAGATCGTCCTCGTCCGATACAGAGTCTCTATCACTCAAATACCGCCTGTGTCATTTACCACATATGCAAGACTCACTTTTGACATATACATGTATTTCTTGCTTCCTGCAGCATTTTCAGAGTTTATTCAGGAGTTTTCCCGAGTACAACACATAATTGTATCGTTAACTGCTGCTCCTTGACGTCATCTTATTTGTTGTTTTAAAACTTATGAATCTTCTGAAATTGATTTCTTTTCAACGGAGCAAAGTATTAAGCTATAATTTGGGATATGAATCGATGTAACAGTTCTTAATTTAAACGTCTAGGATTTTTTTTTGTGTGTTTTTGCTCCATTTTACAGAGAATATAACTTAGGACATTATTTAGTGTATTGTTTGTAAATTAATTTTGACCTGCTCCACGATCCGATTTTTGCAGTTTATAATTCTGGATATGTTTGAAATACTAGTAAATCACGATATTTAAAAAACAAAAATAAATACACGTCATTCAAATTTATTGTTAAAACACTTCTACCAAAATTGGATATAATATGACGTTAAGTAAAAAAGTTATGACAAAAGTCCTCGTATATATAGAAAATATCATAAGAATTAAAAAAAAAAGTATTGAGATAGTCTTGTTTTGTTTTTATAGGAAGCAAAATGTGCCTATTCCGTTATCATCATGGCTGTGTTTTGGATAACAGAAGCCCTGCCGATAGCGGTGACATCACTATTACCAATCATTCTCTTTCCTATGACTGGACTGCTGTATGCAAAAGATGTATCTAGTACATACCTTAATGTACGTATTAAATTTTACGTAGATGTATAATCTAGAAGTTACTAGAAACTAAGAAGTTATTTTGATACTTTCTATAACGAAATCAATGAAACATCATTACATTTTAATTTCCAAATAGATATGTAGCAATTCCTGATGCACTAGTCTAATACATGCATTGCAAACATTTCTAAAAGTTGATTAATAAAAATAAATATAGTTACATGTATATACAAAAAAGTATTAGAACTTCTTTAATTCGCTGCTCTATATAATATTTACTTATTATTGCATGGCTTTGTTTTATCAACTTGAAAACCCTACTTATATGCAAATACTTTGACTGTGTTGCTTAATTGCCTCGACAGCTCTTTGGTGAACACATCACCTCTACCTCCCACCCCTTAACATTTTTAGAAATAAAGAAAAACTGCATATTGGAAATCAATGAAGACAGATTTAATGAATGAACTACTCAGTATTTTTTTTTCATATACTGAATGCTCTTAATACTAATTCAACCTAATCTTTTTTTGAAGTTTAAAAGTTGTCCGAGAAAAAAAAATTAAATGCAGAAAAAATTTGGAAGGAATCCATGTTCTCGATATGAATACTTTGGTAAAATGAAATTCATAGATTCATTAAAAAAAAGTATATAAATCGAAATAAAAATTTTTTTGAAAAAAGAATTCAAGTCTGTAAAACAGTCCAAAATTCTAATTTACATAGCAGAATGATCGACATAAATGACTTAAATATTTTTATTTATTTATCTATTAACTGACTCTCAGTATACTCAATAATAGTATTTTCTCACCTGCAACATATGCTTAAACGCTATATGATTTCAAAAAAAGTGAGAAGGTTGTTTTCTTTCTTTCTTTTTTTTTTTTTTTTTTAATTTTGATTATTTCTCTACAGGATACAGCGGCTTTGTTTCTTGGAGGTCTAATTGTGGCAGCCGCCATTGAACACTGGAACATACACAAACGTCTTGCACTTAGAGTCCTTATGCTTGTTGGGTCAGAGCCAAGATGGTATGCGTTGTACATATACATGTATATAAACTTCCCTGGATATGGTGAAAATTCCAAAAAAAATTGTAATTCAATGCATTACATTCAAAGTAATTGGCCCCAGGTCTACTGTCGATCAAACAAACTGACATACAGTTATTGGAATGATATTATGTGCAATGAACATGTATAATAATCGCGAGTAAAATAAATGAAATTACAGTGTATATGTTATTTTATGTTAATTATCAAGAACAATATTGATGATGAATTTCACTTTCAATTTAATTCAAACATCAAATCAACAATCAACTTTTACATATAGTATTCACTGTAAGTGAACAATAGTTTTTTTCCATGCAACTGGAATCTAAAGTTTAATGTGGATAGCATAATTATCATAATATTACATGTGTGCACGAAAAGTCCCTTCCAGGTTAATGTTTGGGATGATGTTGCCCACGTGGTTCTTGTCGATGTGGATCAGTAACACCGCTACTACGGCCATGATGATTCCTATAGCCAATGCTGTCCTGGTTCAGATAAAAGAAACACGAGAGTCAGAGAACAAGGACGATATCAAAGGTTTTCCTTTTCACAGCTTCAATTATAAATTTTCTCCAGATCTAACTCGTTAGGAATATGAAAAATGAAATGAGAGACAGAGAGAGCTTCTCGTGTAGTGTGTATTTCATTTACTTTTTGTTCGAATATATGCCTAATACAGCTCTGTTAAAAAAAGTGCCAAACAAATATATTGACAATGATTTAACAGTTAAATTTTGAAGGATATCAGTACTTAGTCTGATATTTCACTTATTATCAGATTAGCAATAATATCGGACTGTTCCTAACCTATATCAGACTACCAAAGACAAAAAAAAAGATTATAAGAACAAGGAATGACGTTACTTAAATAATTAAAGAGTGGGGTAGGAAATAATAAAGTGGTCAAATTTTACAAAGACATAATTATACTCAAGATATTTTGTTATATCTCCACAGGAACAGCAATGCAAATCTCTAAGTAAATATTCCTGACATATTCTGTAGATTCTGGTTTGTATAACCTAACCAGGACTGATGTATTAAGGATTTTTATCATTATTCATTGGCTGCAATAGAAGTTCATATTAGATTTGTACAAAATTATACAATGTATATGATTTTTTCCTCAAATCGTTGTCTTTATATAATTAGAAGGAGAAGATGCCAATGCAAATTGATATTCATATCGTTTAATGTAGTTTCATTTAACAAAAAAAAGTCCAAAAATGGCATGAGGGAACTAAAATAGGTGATTTAAAAAGTCTTTTAGAAGAAAAACTATACGTGTGTATAGAATGATTTTTTTAATCCATTCCTTCCTTTTACATATATTTGACTTTCAAACTGAATTGATTACATCGTAACAATACTGCCTTCCTTTATACAAGGGGGACGGAACCCTTTTAAAGAGATATAATTCAGCCCTATCATTTTGTCTGTAAGAGAAATAAAGTTTACATTTACAGTTGTTGATCATGGTGATGTTGACATTGAACTGAAAGTTACCGTGAAGAATGGTACAAAAAATATGACCAACGGAAACCTCGACAAAGACAATGAAAAACATTTGTAAGTAGAATACTTTACTTAAACACAAAACATTTTATCACAGAATTGTTAGAGTAAGATTTCTTTTGTTTTCGTGTACCCATTTAAAAAAATTACTTGTTGAATTAATAATTCCAAAAAAAACAAAACAAAACAAAACAACCAAAACCCATAATTATATACCGATTGAGTTCCTGTTTAAAAATTAATAACCAAAATATGCTTAATACAAACAAGGGCGTCACTACAAGATAATTCGATTTTTTAGGGTGGACAATACTGAGGGACAACACAAGAAAAAGAAAACTGAAGACGCAGAGTACTCGCACATGTGTAAAGCCCTGTCGTTAGGAATAGCTTATTCTGCTAACTGTGGGGGCGTTGCTAGCCTTACCGGAACTGGTCCTAACGTCATCATGAAAGGAGCCGCAGACACGTGAGCGTACTATTCAAAGAATACATAATTATTTTCATATTGTTCATTTGATTTTTTAAAAGTAAACTATTAAAACCTTATTGTAAAAATGTTTTATCAGACACAGATTAATAGCATTATTAATTTATATGTGTCTGGTTTTATGAAGCCTCAAATGAAAGCGTTTGTTTGAAAAGTGATATGGTACATAAACAAATAACATGACGGAATTTTGCACTCTTCAGTATCCTTATTTATAAATTCAAAAATTTTAGTTACTCTTAGATTAATCTGTGTTAGTGAATTTAGATTTATTTATTTGTTCTCTAGTGCTTTTCAAGAGAAAAACGCCACATCTCCTGTCACATTTACTACATGGATACAATATTGTTTACCAATATCAGCCATCATTGTGATATTTGTATGGTTGTGGCTTCAGGTTTTATTTCTACGCTGCAAGTAAGTTTTTAAACTTCAACATTTACACAAGTTGAAAAATGCCAGAAGACTTGACAAGTAAAACAATATTTTGATACAAACATTTAAATGTATTTATTTTAGAACATATAATAAAAATTCCCCTGAACAAGCAAAGAAGGTCAGAAATGTTATAAGACAACAGTATGAAGAACTTGGATCAATAACGTACGTTTTTACAATAATGGAATTCAATCAATAAGTTTATAAATTGAGTAAAGCTATTTGACTCAGTGTGTCCTATAATTAATGTTTTGTAGTTTTGGACAGGGAGCAGTCATTATTCACTTTGTTCTGCTGGCACTGTTGTGGGTCACCAGAGATTTAGGGGGAGTTGGAGGATGGGGTGATATTTTTCCAGAAAAGTATTTATCATATCTCTTCACGGTTATTTTCTGTTATCAAATGCATGCCCATAGATTTAGTTCTAGAAAAGGCAGTTATACTTCTTTCATACATTCCCCTTCATAACTACATCAATAAACTCACACACACACACACACACAAAAGAAAACTCACGAAAAGATAAAAATGTATGTTTAAATTTTTTTTTCAATAATTATTCGATTAAATGAGACAAAAATATACCTACAAATATTTCTATCAATTTTAATAATGTTTCATGTGAAATGTTATGTGAAATAGATTGTACACGTTCTGAATATTTTTTTATATATATTTTCAGAACCGTGACAGATTCCACTCCAGCCATTTTAATCGCTATCAGTCTCTTTCTATTTCCCTCTGTTCTGCCACACAAATTTCAAGGTGAATCATAACAATTGTAAATAATGTATGTTTCATGTTTATTCCTACTTTCAATGTTTAAACGATATTTTATTTATTTAGTGAAAAGATCTTGTTAATGTATTTACAACACGCTGAAAATCTGATACTAGGGATAAACGTTTCTTTTTTTTCTTATCCAGATGAAAGATTCTATTATTTTTTTTAGTTTTAGGTTTACACGACATTGGCAATAATTATAGATATTTCTTATCCTCAACAAAAAAGAATGACAAGATAAACTCATTCCTAAAGCTTAATTTTCAATTTTCAATTAACTCCTCTCCGTAACAGGAATGGATTTAGCGTAGATTCAGATATTTATACAATGTTATCGGAAATGGTAGGTTACATCTGTGACTTTCGGTATTTTTTGTTAGAAAAGGATTTGGCATATATAGATTCAGATATTTATACAATGTTATCAGAAATGGTAGTGACTTTCGATATTTTTTTTTGTTAGAAAAGGGTAAACCTTTACCGCCCCTTCTTCCATGGAAAGCCGCTGAAAAGATGGTACCATGGGGTGTGATTTTATTGCTTGGGGGAGGATTCGCTTTGGCAAAAGGAAGCAAGGTAAACCCGTAAAAAGCAAACAGCCTTGAATATTTTTACCGTATATAAAGGGGCTGATTCTACTGCCATCGTTAAGTTTGGCATTTAGTTGTTAACTGTATTTCAAATATTGCATTTTATTTCTTTTTTTCATTGAATGAAAACTGATACTTCACAATCTTATACAACTGAAATCAAAGAGCTCAAGAAAAGAAAAACGAAATGTTACCTGTTCTCATTGAAATTGACTTAATATGTGACCTGGATTATGTTTACTAATTATTCCTTTTCTTTTATTAATTTCAGGATTCTGGGTTATCGAAATTGATAGGAGAACAATTGACAGTGTTTAAGGACTTTGAACCCTGGGTGATGAATCTTGTACTATGCTTTATAGTAGCAGGTGCCACGGAAGTTACAAGTAACACAGCCATATGTACACTGATGATGCCAATTATGAAAGAATTGGTAAACCTTACTTATACATGTATTTTACCAGCTATAATTTCTACATTTTGGCATGTACATATTGGCAGTTTATTTAATCTAATACATATACGAGGGGTGATCAAAAAGTTCGCGAACTATCTCCATATTTACAAAACCACAAATCAGATCAGAAATTTGGCACACATATAGTCATATACATGTTCTATAAATAACAGATGTTTTTTAATTTTTTGTCCCGTGTTTGTGACGTCACAAAATGAAAATGATGTCAATATGCAGGTGACATGTGACAAAAAAATGGTTGACTCAGTCGTACTCGAGAAACGAAGGGCTGTAAAGTTTAACGTATATCTTGGAAATTCCTTTGCAGTAGAATATGATAATTTGTACAAGGTTTATGAAAACAAAAGACTTACCAGAAGTTTAATCATTAATTGGATTGATTGTTTTAGTGAAGGCAGGGAGAAGGTTAAAAATAATGTTTGTTCTATTGCCCAGCGAAAGCAAGCCGGGGAAAAGATGTGTCCTTAGTTGAACAATTTGTTATGAAACCTCGCCAAGTTACAATTAGAAAAATAGATGAATATTTTGACAATAATATAATTATTAAATCCCTAAAATATCGTTTATTTTAGACTTTAAACATATGAGATATGATAAAAAGAAGGCGCCCATACTTTATCCACAATGGATAAACGACGCTCCCGAGACAGAGGACTGGGAAGGGATATCCTTATACAACTATCCTTTGCCGAGATTTGGCCATTTCTGACAGATGGGTTGTTCTTGTTATAAAAAATAATTTGCATGATAAGAAATATAAGACTCGGAAAAATCTTTTAGCTTCTGTGAACAGACCGCTACGGAGCATGTCAAGTGACCGCCTTGATCACGTGATTCGTGCATGGGCAAAACAATGGCAGATGTGCATAAAAATCGGAGATGACCACTTTAAAAAATAAAAAAAACAACACTGAAACCTCATTTTATTTCTTTTAAGGAAGTAATTCAATTAGTTCGAAAACTTTTTGATCACCCCTCGTACCTACAGTCGTGGTTTGACAAACATTGAAGAAAAGTAATGTTGGTCATGTGTTCTGTCTTTCACTTTGTCTCATAGGATAAATATTAAATAAACATCAATATCCAGCACGTGCATTCTTGAAGAAATAAATAATTTATTTCAACCAGGCTATTACGCTTGAGGTCAACCCACTATACTTCATGTTTCCGACGGCCATCGCTACATCCTTTGCCTTTATGCTTCCTGTCGCTACTCCACCTAATGCAGTTGTGTTTTCTTATGGTTTTGTCAGAGTATTAGACATGGTAAGACTGCATGATACATTTAATTCTTTATTATGCATTCATAATAAATTAAAAAGATTATTCTTTGAAATTATTAATTAAACGAAAGACACTACTTTTTGTATAACTCTAAAATATATATATCTTACATTTCAATTTAAATGATTTGGTACATGTATTTGCATTTCAATATATAATATATTTTGTGTCAATAATCATTTAACGTTGGATACTTCTAGGTGATAGCCGGATTTCCATTAAATATCATAGCTGTTTTGGTATTGGTCATTGGAACGGAAGTATGGGGAGAAGCAATATTTGGTTTTCATACACTTCCAGCTGCGTTTCAAGTATCAAACGAAACGTCAACCTTGTTCAACAATTTGTCAATATCAACTATTAATCCGTTTAATGCAACTACCTGATTGGGATTTTAATTATGGCTAATTGCTTCTGAAATTTGTATGATTATTTAATTTTATCAATAATTATGATAAGAATATAATTTAAACAATAATAAAATATTTCTGTGTTGCAATTTACAAATGCAACCTTTAATATTACTTGTAAGGTTCTGCCTGTTTATAATTATTATTTTCAAGGAAGGCAGCAAATTATTCTTTCTAAAACTTTATAATAATTTATTGTTTATCGAAGTATAAAATATCAAACAGCTTGAACATTAAGTATACAAAATGCATGTTGTAGGTCCTATCCGACATTATTTTAGTTTTATTTGCTAGATCAACATCATGATTAAATGACATAGAGTCATTTTAATATTAAAAATATATAAACATGGATTATCAATCTAAATACCATTCGACTCTAGCCTTTTATGTGATAACGAATTAGAATGACACCATTTTCTGAGAGCAAATGTACGGCTTACTTTTGAAAATTAAAATCTTTTAGATATTATAATAAAGACTTTTTACTCGTTTACTTTCCTTACCCTTTTGTTTTACTATATTTACACTCTTATCTGTCCTAATATTGAGAAGAGGAAAAATAAGCTCACTTCGTCTCCTTCTAAAAAAATGTATACATCAAATATGGAGATAACGAACAGTAATCAAGCTCAACTTCATAGAAAAAATACAAATCAGGAGCAAAGCAAACACGTACCTCTAAAAACATCAAAGGTGGGATCAGGTGCAATGGAGGAGTACGCATCCCCTGCCGACTGGTTAAACCCGTCGTGTGCTCCTTGTCATGATCGGGAAAACGGAAAAATCCGTAGACATTTCAATGTGTGAATAATGGCCTAACTATTAGGTATGAAAAAATCAATCAGCATTCGACTTAATGATAGATTGTATTTGCTGAGAAGGTCATTGTATCGACCATAGAATTTGCGAGATGAAATTTGTGAATTTTGTGAAAAATGAACTTTTAAATTTTTAAACGAAAGTCTTTAATATATTTGATTTGAGATTTGGTGAGCGGAATAGTTAAGAGACGAAAAATAGATGTCCAACTAATCAAAAAAAGCCGAAGGATGTTAGTAAAGATACACAGGCATCTGATTCTTCTTTTGTGTCCCGAAGATTCTGTGAATATTCCGTGTATCAAACAATGTGAAATAAAGAGTAATGAACGGTGAATTAATGGAATTTAAGATCGGTGCCACGGATTCCTCTACATTTCCTTTGCGACATTCAGTTCACCGTGGATTATTCACGCAATTTCAAAAGATTATCTTGTGAAATATTTATAATTTACGTCACTAATTGTCTACATTGCTCATATTAAATTCTTAAATTTATCAAAGCTTTTAAAGTGCTTCGCCCTCTGCATCGCCATTTGTTTTGATTTCAGTGTTACCTGTAGCTGTCCAATAAGTTGAATCTTATTAGACACCTACAGGCGCAGGACAATAAGAAATTTACTGGACTAGGTTTAACAAAAGGTGACGTAACAAAAATGGTTTCAACATATATACATCAAAACGTATTAAACACACATCCACTGGCCTAGAGTCGGATAGCTGAAACTGCGACAGGGAAGACATCATTCTGCTCTTGCTTTTTGTTATTTATAAAGAATGGATTTGGTACAGGAAAGCATTTAAATTTAGTTAATAATCATCAATGATGTTTTTACCTTTTACTTACCAGTTGAAAATGATAGAAACAGGGCCACAATACTGAGTAGGAAATGGTAATATATGTATATGCAACTTACACATTAAACTATTGCTAAATATTTCAAGACGGGTATATAGATGACTTGCAGTTATCTTTTACCCTTCTTGGCATTCAGATTTTGCATGTATTTATACGCCTCCCTTCCAAGTCTTCCAATTAGTTTAAACTCTCTCCTCAAAGTTATAGCATCAAGCATCAAGACATCATACCTGGTAGCATTGTCTGATTTTGAGTTGCAGTTACTTTTCTTGTTTGTTGAAGACATGCTAAAAATTTCTATCAACAATACAACAATACAAATAAGAAATTATACAATGCAAATTGAAAATACAGAAAGAAAATGAAAAATTATCCAATTCAAATGATTTTTTTACAAAACAAATTAAAAAGTATACAATGTAGCAGGATACAACCTCCTTAGTGCCGCTGGACGGGGAGCATGCATTTTTCTGACATAAACAGCTATTTTTGAGAGTACGTTATTTTTTATTGACACGCTTTACTTTACCTTGTAAATATTTTTTTTCTCGTAAACCGCAAGGATCGAGTTCGCCTTGACGCGTGCAATAATGCAAATAAGTTTAATATATCTGCGTTTGAAGTCTTGCCTATTTTATTTTTTGAAAAATTTACGCGAGTATTAACAACCATGTCATCTGAGAAACAGACGATCTGCACATTACTACTAAGCATTCGGAATGTATTCATTGTCACTTTAACTCCAATTGTTTTGCTACCACTGATTCTTCTTATTGACGGAAACGTAAGTACTTATATTTTGTCTCAAAATTTAAGTTATAGTGTATACTCTTAATTTTTGGTTCCATCACTTTTATTCTTCTCTCTAATGTACAAATTTAAAATATTCAACTCAAAACTGAAGATCACATTTTAAATTTATTCTTTTTGGGGACTGGGAGTGGGGATGGGGGTTATACAATGATTACAATGTTTAACTTTAAACAACCCGCAATTTTTCATGACATCTGAACAATTACAACTTCCATGCTTTTAGGCAATTATATTTAGATACATGAAAAGCAGATTAGAGGAATATTTGGAAATCTTGGATTCGACAAACATAAATGCCAAAATTCTAACTATATTTCTCAAATAAACTTTGTAAATGTTCATACGGTGACTTGCACGAGTTTTTGAAATTTATAAAATTGTGACTTTAGAAAGTTTCTTGAATTTAATTTGAATCATGTTCATGCGAAAATCATATTTAATCTACATGAAAAAATTGCATCAAGTGAAATCTGGTTATGATATATATAAAACAATATGGTAGGTACAGAGATCAAACTTGGACTAAACAATGTCAAAAACAATCAATTTTACAAGCTAAATTTACACAGAACAAGATCATCAAGGATTGTTGACCCATTTAAATAGAATGTTTACGTTTTGGTACACAGCTGAAATTGGACAAAAAAGATTTACAGCTAAGTGACAAGATCTGTGTACGTCCTGTTAACTTAATACATGTTAATGTAACGAATCTCGGATGATATACATATTTACATGGTAATTTGTTTTGTTAAACGTCAACCGTATTAAAGATTATGAAATCTTGCTCCAGTTATTACTTTAGTGGAGATATTATCTTCATGTATACTCTTTCTATGATATCAACTTCGAATAAAGAAGTCACTTAAAATACACCACTTTGAAAAATCTAGGGCACAGGTATTAGACAACAGTTTTTTTGAACATTCATAATATGAAAAATAAATTTTATGCTAAAATCAAATTTAATCTATACGAAAATATTGTAAGTGTTAAAACGAGCGTGGTATCTTGACGCCCGGAGAATTTAGATACACAAAAGACGCGTTTAAAAACGCTGTTGTTTGTTGAACCCTAAATGTGCTTGTTCTCTTCATAAATACATTGCAGGATTTAATTATATATTTATTAAAAAAACTGACTTAAAATCAGATGGTGAATACTTATTCCGATAAAACAGATCCTTTCCGAAATTGAAATCATCAGGTGTTTCTAGAAAAATAAAATGGTTTTTCAACAAAGTTAAGGTGTGTAAAGTCTGGCATTTCTATAAAGGTAAATAATATAAAACATTAAAGATGCGTCATCTTTATTACGCCTTATTTGTGTATTTGGAAATACATCCTAGTAAAATAAGTAAAAAAAGAAACACGTACCTGAGTGTTCCACAAATTTAAGAGCGTCATAGAATATTATGTAACATCGAGCTTATTTTCTGTCCGTAAACAACAAGTAAAGCAGGAAAAACCCACATTATACATTGTTTAAGTATTTAGTTAATGGTTGCTACTGCTCTTGGGCAATGTCTACTTATATCTACTAAATTAAATTAACGTTAATTTATTTTTTATTTGTCAAATAAGAGAGGGAGACTGAGTTTATTTTTATACTTAAACGCACAAGGTAATGTTGCCCCCTCCCCCATCCCTTCCAAAAGTTATTTAAAAAATCTTCCATCCCTTTCAATTCACCTTTCTTTGAGTTTGAAAGAAAATCATAAGTTTGTAAGATAAATGGTAATATATTAAATAAAATCAAATCACCACATCTTAACACGGAAAAAGGTTTATGTGTTAGATATATTGTTGGATTCCAATACAGAAATCCATGTGTGTACTAGTATTGCACAGTGGTAACCATCAGTGATATAATAGCCCCCTTTGATATAAATGCCACCGATAAATGTTTATTATCATTATGTAGCATTGCTGTTATACATTATAGGGATAATTTTGTTTCCGTCATATAAGACATATTAATACTGAAAACATTGTTATCCATAAATGTAATTAAAACATAAATCATTATAGTGAATCTGAACAAAAAAAAATATCAATAAGTGGTTGACACGGGTGTTACTTCATCCACAACTGCTATAATATTATATCATGATTTAATACCCTAATATTCTGAATTGACAATACCTAAAATATACCTAATCACATTTTCTATTTAATAAATGAGAAGAAACAGACTAAAACACACTTTTTTCTCTTCTTTCCTAGGCTAATCTATTTAGCAGTGTGTACGTCATGTCAATACGTTGGCCGATTACGTCAAAACTATTTAATATCATAAAGTGGAATAAAATTGCTGAAGTTCCATATTGAAATCAAACAAAATTTATTTTTCTATGCAAGTAAAAAAGATACGTAGTACTTAGAAAGTACTGTTAATTAGCCTTTTATTTTTCTTTTTGTAAAGGATTGATGGTGTACATGTAGCTATCAGAAAAATAAAATAATGAAAAATCAATTAAATCATTACATTTATTTATTTTATTATACAGGAAGCAAAATGTGCATACGTTATAATCATAATGGCAGTGTTTTGGATAACAGAAGCTCTGCCGATATCTGTGACGGCACTTCTACCAATCATTCTATTTCCTATGGTCGGACTTCTGTATGCAAAAGATGTTTCGAAAACATACATCAATGTACGTATCTTTAATACAACTTCATTGAATAATTCAACAAAATACAATTATGTGGTATATTAACTAAAAGGATAAAAATGTTCATCATTTTTAAGAAATTGAAAGAAATGGAAATGCTTTCTAAAGCATGAAAATATTCTAATTCTTACGATTTTAGCCTTCTCCTTCACAATTACAGTAACAGTTATACATGTACTTATTTTAGTCAATTAACAAATACTAGTTAAATAAAGTAAATTGAAAAAGAGAAAAAAACCAAGTAGTGTTGCTGCCTTTAGGTATTAGTCATTATTGCCAATGTGTCATATTTTTCATAGGACACTGCTGCTTTATTTATTGGAGGTTTAATTGTTGCGGCCGCCATTGAACATTGGAACATACATAAACGTCTTGCCCTTAGAGTCCTTATGCTTGTTGGTTCAGAGCCAAGATGGCAAGTATTACAATAAATAGATCTGTTCTACGGTTAAATTGTCTTTATTTCTTTTATTCATTCTTTGCTTGAAGATTAAATATAAAATTAATATAAATCTTGAAATCCTTTATAACCAGCTATATGCTTATGTGAGAGGTTTGAACATTATTTAGTAAAGGACCCTTTTTCTTGCTTGAAAATGCAAACATGCAAAATTAATTTTAAGAATGACTTCCTACTAAAAAAAGTATATTATTTTAATGCGGAAGTCTAAAATAATTGTATAAGATTTAAGTAAAGCAAGCAGTATTTCAGATCCAAATTTTCAACAAAAAAAAATTCCTACAGGTTAATGTTTGGTATGATGTTACCCACGTGGTTCCTGTCGATGTGGATCAGTAACACAGCTACTACGGCCATGATGATTCCCATAGCTAACGCTGTCCTGGTCCAAATGAAGGAAACAAGAGAAGCAGAGAAACAGGACGAGGCCACAGGTTTTACCCTCCCCCACTTCTTTTCTTTAGAAGTTTAACTTAATTAAATACAATTATCTTTTTTCTATGTATCCAGTAAATACCAAATGTTAACTATACAAAGAAAGATTTGAAATCTATGAGGCACTGACATGAAAATGTGTTCACTAGTGTTTCTCAAATTAAAGCCTTGATGAATGATGAAGATCATGTATTCGGATTCAAGGCACTAAATGTTTGAAAAAAAGGGGGGAAATAATATGCTAAAAGGAAAACCTCTAACAATACGTAGAAATTTCAATGGATAGAGAACTTTATTATAATGAAATAGATGACCATCCTTTATGATGAATATTGTTTGCTTGCTTAACGTTCCTCCGAGTACTTTTACTCATATTGAGAGGCCACTAGTTGCCAGTGAAGGGCTGCTAATTTAGACCTGTGCTCGGCACCTTTCTCGGATCTTTTTCGTGCCAGCACCTACTGCGACACGGGACCTCGGTTTTGCAGTCTCATCCGAGGGACCGGTTTACACGTCCTGCAGTGGGATTCGAACCCGCAACGTAAGGATCAACTCCTAACTCCTGAATCGAAAAAAAACATGTAATCTTTCATTACAACATATGCAGTATTTTAAATAGTATTATAATCTTTGTTTCATTTATTATATATATTTTCCATGTTTTTATTGAGCTACATGTAGCTATCGATATTTAAACAATGGGCTTTTCACAGCTGTTGATCAGGATGAGGTTGACTTTGAACTGAAAGTTGTACAGAATGGCATTAAACATAGTTCCAATGGCAACCTAGCCAATGACCAAGAAAATCAGTTGTGAGTAGCAATTATGCACAAAAGTATAAAAGTAAAAAAATATTTCCAACATTAAATATTCTAAAATATGTTTAATTTCAATAATGAGTAGGTCCAAAAGTTTGAATAAATATCAGTAACAATGAAAAGTCCTCAGTATAGATTGTAGCATTACCATTCATATAGAAGAGAAAATGCCAAGAAACGAGCTGATGAAGAAAAAAATGAAAATGCAGAGTACTCACGTGTATGTAAGGCACTGTCGTTAGGAATTGCTTATTCTGCTAACTGTGGGGGCGTGGCCAGTCTTACCGGAACTGGTCCGAACATCGTCATGAAGGGAGCTGCAGACACGTGAGTACATGTAGATATTAAAATAGCTTATTTTTTATATTTGCTGAATTGAGGAGAAAATCATACTTTGAATTTGAAATTTGGATATGTACCTTTTGGATAACTGTTGAAAGACACATCGGAATGTTAAGAGGAGTGTATGCAATATAACTCTTTCTTAAACATATGTTAATATTTAAAGGAGTGCATGGAATAGTTTTATCGTAAACATGCTATTGTACAATACAACATTTGCAAAAAGAGCATTATTTGAATATTTCAGCATGAATGCACACTATTTTCAATTCTTCAGAGCTTTCGAAGAGAAAAATGTTCCATCCCCTGTTACCTTTACAACATGGATGCAGTACTGTTTACCAATATCCGCCATACTGGTGATCTTTGTCTGGGCATGGCTCCAGGTTCTGTTTCTCCATTGCAAGTGAGCCTTTCGAAGCTTTATCGTCATGATTCTTCAAGAAAGAAATATTACCTATTACAAAAATATTTCATTCGGGGAAATTTTTGCTCTAGTTTAATTTTTGTCTTCATCACTAATATAATTATCTCTCTGATCTGGAATTTAAATAAAATGCAAATTTAAAATGGCGTGTTCCTTATGAATAAGTGTTAGCAAAATATAATATTCGAAACTTTATAGGCGGTAAGATAACCTATTCATTCTTAATTTGCTCTTCCAAGAACTTTCAATAGAAAATCCCCAGAACAATCAAAGAAAGTGAAAAATGTTATAAGAAGAGAATACGAAGATTTGGGACCAATTACGTAAGTACTCGCATGTATCCTCCAAAATATATCCAAGAATGTACAGTAAATAGTACATGAATATGTACGTTATCTCACTGTGTTATTTTGTAGGTTCGGACAAAGAGCAGTTATTGTTCACTTTGTTCTGCTGGCACTATTGTGGGTCACCAGAGATCTAGGGGGAGTAGGAGGATGGGGAGATTTATTTCCAAAAAAGTATTTACTCCATACTTTATCAATTATGAATATAGTTTGCAAGTAGTTTCCGTTTCCATTTGCATAATCACATTAACTACATGATATTTATGTTTTTTTTTTCCGCATGTACAGTATTTTCCGCTAATATTAATTTTTCGATGTTCCTCAAAAATAACATTTTTCCTCCCTTTAAAATTAAATTTCATTAACGTTTAAAGAATTTATATAATTATGATCAAGATTACAAATTCAATTCCACTGAAGTAGTTTATGTGTTTTTCATGTAAATGTACCTCAACAAAGTCAACAAAATATGTTTTCTATAAAAATTTCAAGTTACTGTATTCGATATATAGATGTATGTGTATATGAAGCAATTCTTCATTTTATATCTAAGATTTAAAATGACCAAAACCTCGCGTTTCCACCGGATTTCATAATTGGGAGTTCGATCCCGATCAGGCTGAACCCGATCTTCATACAACATACAAATAATAATTGTAAATTATAAATTAACTATGCCAATTACAATGTAAAAAAAGCTTGTATATAAAACACTTTATGGGACATAAAATTGTATTTCTGTTTTCAGAACAGTAACAGACTCCACACCGGCTATTCTTGTCGCCGTCAGTCTATTTCTATTCCCCTCTGTTTTGCCCCACAATTTCAAAGGTTAAGTAAAATACATATTGATTCATGTACTCTAGCATTTATGCACTTTCAAAATGAAGATTTGAGAAGTAAAAATAATTAAATGCTTCAATGCACTAAGAATAGGTTTTTGATGCAATATTATAATATACATGTAGAATTAAAGCATTGTAAAATGTTTTCTTTAGGTTTCTGCTAGTTTCTAATTTGAGACTAAACTTAGCAGCGTTTGATTAATGATTTGTCGATCAAATCTTCACCTTTGTCAGCCCTTCTACTTTTAGAGAAGGGAAAACCTTTACCTCCTCTTCTTTCATGGAAGGCAGCGGAGAAAAAAGTTCCATGGGGAATAGTTTTGTTGCTTGGAGGAGGTTTTGCTATCGCAAAAGGGAGCCAGGTTTGAAATATATTATATTGCTTAGTATACTATTAAACCACCGTCTTCTTTACAGCTACTAAGTTTTTTTAAAAGTTTGTTGACATCATAAATTGTATTTCAATACACATCTTTCGAATACAATTAATAAATGTTGAAAATAGTTCTGATACTTTCGTATTCTATGTCATTTATCAATCTGGTATGTCATTCCAAATTACTTTTTAAAGAACGTGCAATGCTCATCTTTATGAGATGGACATTTACAAGTGTATATCTAAAACAAAGTATTATTGACTTCATACTAAGAATACTTAACTATTAATATTGATTTGATCGATTTGAACTTGACCATTGTTTTTAACAGTTTCACTATTTTAGGAATCTGGATTATCGAAATTGATAGGAGAACAATTAACAGTATTTAAGGATTTTGAACCTTGGGTGATGAACCTTGTTTTATGTTTAATGGTAGCCGCCGCTACAGAAGTAACAAGTAACGTTGCTATATGTACCCTGATGATGCCAATAATGAAAGAACTGGTAATGACAGTTTGCTAGCTTTAAGCATAAAAATACGTATTATTTACTAAATTTTAAAGTTTAAATTGCTGAACAGGTGCTAAACAAAATGATAAAAATTTTAATTATTTAATAGAAACAATCATGGCATGTTATCTCTGACAAATCCTCTTGTTATGTCCAGTGAGGAAAGTGAGAATTTTACGATTAGGAAATGATACATGCTCGAAAACTTTTGGAATATGTATAAATAATTTTGAAGAACTAAGTAATTATCCATTTTATACAGGCTGTCACTCTTGAAGTAAATCCACTATACTTCATGTTCCCGACGGCCATTGCTACATCATTTGCCTTTATGCTTCCGGTTGCCACCCCACCTAACGCAGTTGTTTTTTCTTACGGATTTGTCAAGGTTTTAGACATGGTAAGAGAGTAAATATTTCATTTGTCTTATTAAAAATGATTCCTTCTTGCATAAATTTGTACACAACATCGCACAATGTAAAGATTGTGTTAAGGACGTTTGTTCTTTGGCTTTAATATTTTGGATTTAATTTTTTATATAGGTAATAGCTGGATTTCCATTAAATATTATTGCTGTTCTGGTATTGGTTCTCGGAACGGAAACATGGGGAGAAGCAATATTTGGATTTCACACGCTTCCTGATGCCTTCAAAACAAAAAATGATAGTACAACGTTTGTAAATTTCACAACAGCCTTTGTAAACACTTCTACATTACTGACAACAATTGTTCCGCTCAATGGAACTACGTTTTAGATGTTTTAAATTTTTAAAGGAATTTGTTATCATAAAATTTTATTGTAGTTATATTTTAAAAGTACGTTAACATAAGAATGATTGATCATGATTGCACAAAAAAATCTATAATTTAGCTTGTCGAGAAAATTATGAGTTCATCCAATCGATCCAAGGAAAGACAACATTGTTTTTATTTATAATTGATAGTTCTGTGGAATTTCCAGGGATCCATGTTTGATGCTCTGTTCACAGATTTGTAATGATCTATCGTTTGTTGGGTTTTTTCTTGAGATGGACCACTGTTCGTTTTTTTATTTTTACATTAGATCTCATTAAATGAAAGTTATTTGAATGTGCGAAGTTTTATAACTCTACGAGGGGTTATCAAAAAGTTCGTGGACTGACGCGATAAAATTAATAATATGTAGTCTTTGCTTACAAAATTTATGCGGAACATAAAACAACAAAAGTTTAAGAAATGTTGAAAATTTTAGCTTGATAAGTTGATAATTTGCCAAATTATTCTAAAATTAAAAAGACTTTATGTGATCACCCGGCGCTGTCGCCGTTTAGTGTCATGACGTCCGCTTAACGTCATTGTTTCTTAATGTCCGCTCTCTCTACCTCATACACTTATCTTGATGAGATTACCTGGAGTTAAGTAAGGACTTAAACCCGTCTTATTTATATGAATTTACAATGTCATGAGCAGCTGTTTTCAATGCATATAATATTATAAATGGATCTTTATATGGGGAAAGATCCTCACTTGATTATGCCAGAATACTTAGCTTGTTGGAGTTCAATTTCTACCACACATGATCAACGTCACTTTTCGACGTGACTGACTTTTGACACCCTGACTACAAATCGACACTAGCTGTGCATATTTCATCTCTCTGAATCTTTTTAGGCATTAAAAAACAAGTACTCTGGATGCATTTTATTTTTCTGTAGCCAGTTTAAACATTCCTTAGGTCAATACCAGTTTTTCCAGGACCGAAACTCTATAGAGTGTTTGAAAAAGAAACCCCTCCCCCCTTTTGACGTTATTTTCAAGCCCATAATTGTTTGGACACTCCATATAAAATTTACGATAAAATTTCATAGAAATTACAGAATGGGGTAAAAATTCCAAATTTTACTGAACAAATGTGTCATACCACATGCCTGAATTAACGAGATTTTTTGATGACATATACTCATATCTAAAGAGTTTTTCTCAGTTACACTCAGGTAGGAAAAAACGTCATATTAGAGGTTGCGCCGCCTGGACATACCTTTGCTTACAAAAACACTAACATTTTATTAAAAAATAAAACTTATGATTTATGGTTTATTCTATAGATAGAAAGGATGATGCTAACTAAATGTGTAAGAATTCATTGATGTACCTAAAGCGGTTTTAATTTTATCACGCTAGTCCACGAACTTTTTGATAACCCCTCGTAAATGTCGCCTTTTGCTCTGAAATGTGAAAATATAATGAAATCGTAGGATTTCTTTGGTGTTCAAATTTGCGATTTTGTGCCATGTTTTATGTGAATCTATACAAATTGTGGTACATTTTTATGACGTTATAACAAAATCTTACAAAATGTCCACACTATCTTTGGCAAACGTTGATCAAATTACTTATATGAACACAAATATAAATAGATATATTGCTGATTCTCGAAAAAAGTTTGTGTTATTTATCCTTATTAAATCTCACAATTTTTTTTACTTAATAGATATTTTTGGTATCTGCTACTTTTCAGGTAGATTATCGAAAATTTAATTTCTTTTCAGTTGTAGTCCCAATTTACTTTTGAATATTTGTTACACGTTGTTAACAATAAATGATTGTCATACACGTATTTAAATGTTTGATTAATCTATTACATATCCATGTACAAGCTTGGATTTCTAAGCTTAACTCAGTTTACTTGACGAACCTACTCCTGTGTGTTACTACTTTCTATATTTGGCAGTTACATGGATTACAGTTACCTTTGTGAGGGATACTTATATAGAGTACTAGTAATACTTTTTTCTCGTATGTATAGTATTATTATTTTATTATTAGTAGTGCTATGTGTTGCTTAGTTAAATTAAATACCGAGAAATTTCTACAGATCTAGACTGAGATAGGCGTCATACATGTATAAAACTAAACATTACAGAGCATTTTAAGTTTTTATACAAATCATGTCTAGTACAAATTCATTTCGGTTAAACACATCGTTTCTTCAGACAGCGTTTATTCAATCTCTGAAACGTTCCACTATCTATCCTTTGTTGAATGTAGGCTCACGACTTTCTTTTCCTTCAGGATTTACTCACCGCTCATTTCTTCTCCTTTCCTCCTTTTCTCAACCTTTGCTTTAATCTTTGTTAGCTCTTTGATCTTGCTCTTTGTTTGTACATATTTACTTCATATTATTCACTGATGTAAACGACAGTTAAAAAGTTTTTATGCCCCCGTAATCGAAGATTCGGGGGAATATAGTTTTTGTCCTGTCCGCCCGTATGTGTGTCTATCTGTCTATTTGTCCGCAAAAACTTTAACCTTGCCCATAAATTTTGATTGGTTGGAACTATGGCTTCAATATTTCACATGTGTATTTCTTGTGACAAGACCTTTCTTTTTGGGTACCGTCATATTTGACCTTGACAGTAGAATTTGTCCCACTTTTGCAAAATTTCATGAGACTTTAACCTTGGCCATAACGTTTGAACAGTTGGGGCTAGGGCTTTCATACTTCACATTTGTTCCTTATGACAAGACCTTCCTTTGGATACCAACAACTTTGACCTTTTGATATTGACCTTGGAGTTTGATCTACTTTAATTTTGAAAAACTATAAGCTTAACAATATCTTTTGAACAGTAAGTGCTAGGGTTTTCATACTTCACATGTGTATTCCTTGTGACAAAACCTTCCTTGGCTACCAACATCTTTGATCCTTTGACCTTGACCCTGGAGTTTGACCCACTTTTGCAAAATTTCATGAGACTTTAACCTTGACCATAACTTTTAAACAGTTGATGCCACGGCTTTCATACTTCACATGTGCATTAATTTTCCTTGTGAAAAGACCTTCATTTCGATACCAACCATTTTGGCATTGACCTTAACCTTGGAGTTTGACCTACTTTTAAAAAAACTTTAACCTTGGCCATAACATTTGAACGTTTGGTTTTAGGGCTTTCACTTTTCATGAACATGTGTATCACATGTGACAAGAGCTTCCCTTGGGGCACCATTTGACATTGACCTTGACATTTTACTAACTATGAAAAACCTTTAACCTTCGCCATAACTTTTCAAGAGTTGGTGCTAGGACTTTCAAATTTACAGGTATATTTCTCGAGACAAGACCTTTCTTCGAGTACCAAATTTTTGACCTCTTGACCTGGAGTTTGACTTGCATTTGAGAAAATTTAACCTTCCCGTAAGCTGCCATATGGGGGCCTCAGATTTTCACAAACACGTATTGTTTTTTTTTTTTTTTTTTTTTTCTCCATATGATCAATAAAAATGAGATTAACTGCCTGATAAGAACTGAATCTAGGCAATTAACTAGTATTTTTTCTTTAATTTTACACTTTATTTTATAATCAAGATGAATTAATTTCACACCAGGTTTTCTGGCAAATGACTGTCAACTGGATTGGTCATCTTAGCGATGTAGGAATTATTGTCGAAGAGGAACTGATAAACAATCTTAGTTTAGTAATGATACGTGCTCAGTTATTGTTTTTCAAAAGAAAATGTTTGACTGCATCCCGATTTAACCCCCTAAGGAATACATTTTTTTTAAAAAAAGATATACAGTACTAATTTAAAAGAAAATTAAAAAAAAATTGGGAGAGAACCATTTTCACGAAATAAGATTTTTCATATTTATAATAATTGTAGATAGGATAGTTTAAAGATATTTATAAAAACAGTATTTGTTACACTTGTAAAAGTATTACTTAATAATTCGCTCACTATTATTTCAGCGTTAACTGTCCTTTCGCTCTCCATTTTTTTTTGTAATCGCGTATATATCTATGCTAACTTTCTGTTCCTTGTTTGTGTTACCTAAAGTTTGAATTTTCTCTCGACGTTTGTTCATCGTATCGCTCTTCGTTCAATTTGGGCTGAAGAAGGTAGGTTAAACATGACTATGAAAATGAACCATATTCTGTTCAAACAGTAAAAACGTCAACATAAAAGGGAAAAAAGCTACAGGTGTACTCATTAGTTGTAAGGATTCTAACTCCAAAGATTTGATTTAGCAACACAGCTTTAGCTATCTCAAATTGTTAGGTATTAATTTAACTACGGTAAGTAAGGAATTTTTTTGTGTTGTATCCGGGCTTTATGGTTGTGGCTTCAAGAATGTGAACAGGACAAAAAAATTATGCCATACAGTAACTCTTATAATAATATTAGCCTCTGAAATATGACTGGTTCAAAATCACAACCCAGAAAAAAAATTCGAAAGTGCATTTTCACAGGAAGTCGCTAAGACGACTGTTTTGGCATGATTTTCCCAATATTTTTTCATTTAGAATGTGAAATCTACTGTGCATGGCATTGGAGTAATAGCAATAGTTTCAGTCATCATACTTACTACATTTCCTAATTCCACATTAATAACGATTTCACTTTGGTTACGTATTCGTCAAATTAAATATCAGAGGGCAAATCCTGACTGTAATAGCACCACTAAATAGAATATGCTACATTATACATCTACTTATTATATATTACATTTACTCGAAATTGATGTCTAAAAAAACTCAAATGGTTTGAAGTCTACATTTACATGTTAAGTGACCTTTGCAAAAATTAGCAATAACAAAAGAGTATAAAATAGGCAACTACCGAATGAATTAATCATTACCCTGGCTTAACGATGAATTCCTATTCATGCGATTTTATTACTCACTTTCAGGGTCCAAACATCTCTGTGAGAGTTTTTCGATGTTGACCTGCTTTAGAATGCTTAGCTCTATTTTTTCTCTTATCACAAGGATTGCTTGCATCACATTACTGTGCAACAAGAATCTCAGCAAGGCATGTTTACAATTAAATCAAATTTATACGTTCCTTGATGAAAACTGTTGCCATGTCGTCTGTAGTGCATACAGTTGTTAGATTGCTGAAGTTTGCAAGGAATATATTCATTGTCGTTTTAACTCCGATCGTTTTATTGCCGCTTATACTTGTTGTGGACGGAAACGTAAGTACTACTGTAACATCTTTGACTGGCATGTTAAGACATAAGTATGTTGATATATTTTCTCAATACATTATATCTTTTTGATAATAAGTTATTTAAGCTATTTGAAACTATAATGTATTTCGAAAATAGTGTTCACATGTTATTGTTAGCGTTAAAGATGCGATGTAGGATTTTTTTCCCAATGTATATGAACAGATAACTTTCAAAACTGTGTAAAAATAAGGTAAAATGTTATATACATGTACAATAATGGCATTTTTCACAAAACAGTGGACGGATGAAGTAACAACATGAAATATTTATCGAGAAAAATCTTTAGTCGTACTAGTATATAAAAATAATTTCTAAAATACGCTTAAAATTCTTGACATTTTCATTCCATCGAATTAAAGTAGCTTGATGATAAACTATAAGTTTACTTGAAGAATTATTTGGTATATTAGAATTTCATTAAAATATATTAAAGACAAAATATAGAGCTTTCTGGGGTTGTTTTTACAGGAGGCAAAATGTGCATATGTCATTATCATCATGGCGGTATTTTGGATAACAGAGGCCCTGCCAATAGCCGTGACGTCATTACTACCCCTAATACTATTTCCTATGGTTGGACTTATGTATGCTAAAGATGTATCAAGCGCATACCTCAACGTATGTTTCAGAAATTAATAGGGCATAAATGCATGTGTCTTTTAAAACAAATCAAGGGGCGCTTTTACTAATACATTAAAGTTCAAATTGATAATTCATAAATATTTCCTTTGTAGTAATGTTGTTGTCACATATCATTTATTACATGTCAGTCAAAAATAAACTTTTAATATAAGAAAACAATTATTATACTTTTGATCAATCAAGTGTTAGGGTATCATAGTTGACCTCAATACAATTGTACACACTTTAAGAGTTATACCTGTATAATATATATGTACAAACCTGAGTTCTCATTTTGTCATTCCTTTATAGGATACGTCCACTCTCTTCATTGGAGGTCTAATTGTGGCAACCGCTATTGAACACTGGGACATCCATAAACGTCTTGCCCTTCGAGTTCTCATGCTTGTAGGTTCTGAACCAAGATGGTAAGAACAACATGTCCGATTTTTGTATTTTATCAAAGACTAATTTATATTTATAATAGTTCTGCGAATAGATGTATCAATATATTTCAAAAATAATTAAAAAGTACATATACGACAACTATTCATAAAGTTCAGGGAAAATGACGTTTTTATCAAAATGAATGGTCCTACTACTTATATACGTATTGTATACCAAAATATTTGGTTTGAAAATCCAAGTCAGTATAGGTAAAGTGATCCCTAAGTGTCGCTCTGCTCTTGCAGGCGACACAGTTATGTTTCAATATGGTTGAAACGACGTCAGAGACAGAATATTGATTCAAACAACTTGAAATTATTGGAATGTATACTGAAAGGAAAAGGAAACGCAGGGTAAACTTTTGAAATGAATTAATTTCCGATGGGATTTTCCAGTATTGTTATCTATAATTTAAACTCATCTTTAATGAAGAAGTAAGCAAAATCTCATTTGATATTGACTGATAATTCATAAGATATTGAAATTCATATGACGGTACCCCCCCCCCCCCCCCAAATGAAAATAAAAATTCTCAATATATCTCTCGCGCGTCCATCACAACCTTGATCCTCCTGTGCATGAAGTTCATCAGAGCATTTATCTTTCTGATAGGGATATTTATTCAACCCTTCCAACAGGACAGCACCTTGTTGGCCGGGATTAGCTGGGCTTACAGACGCTATCAAACCGTAGCGTCCATTCAGTCCCACAGATTTTCAATTAGAAAAAAAAATAGAATATGCGGATGCCAATTGATTTGGTAAATGTGAATATTTACGAGAAAGTCTTGACAAACTTTGATAACATTTTCCTGGGGGTGAACATGCTGAATAATCAGGCTTACGACGCACCGACGAAAGGTTGACGAGCTCAGGGACTAAATTAGAGCGATGGATTTCTTTCAGTTTTAGAGTGAATGTAATGCTAATGATAACTTGCTGTATTAGAATCGGTTTCAGTTGTAATACCGTGGCGATTACACAGGTGGCAGGATGAAAAACCTTATTTTCTTATGACGTTGTTACGGCCAACGTCACCGTCACGGCTGGTTGGAAAAATTCCTGTTCATCTCTGACAACGGATAAAATGTTATATGGAGGAGTATTAATGACAAACTTCACAACAACAAGTTTTGCCTTTTTCTTCACATAGGCAATTGAATCTCTAGACCCCATGGGACTTCCACCAGCCGTACCATGATTACAAAAAATTCATATCGACTGTAAATAGTGAAAAACGATGTGTATACCTCCAGTGCATCAAGTAGTACTACAAAATCTGTTAACAAACCTGACATCATCAATATGTACGTGTTTTTGGCTTTTTATCACTTTTCCTATGTGTAAACTTTTCATGTTTGAGTAATTTTGAACACCGATTTTAGTACACAGTAACCAAGATACACCTCTGACCAATTTTCATAATTTTCGGCCACTAAGTCAAAAATATTTTGCATATTATGTTACCCTGCGTTTTTTTTTCCTTTCAGTATATTTAGTTCATTTATTTGAAATTGGTAAATACGAATTTTGAACGTGTGTACAATTTTGGAGACACTACAAAAAGTGGGAAACCACAGTTATTTGATGAAAATAGAATACTTGTATTCCTATTCATGACGTTGTTAAACATCTAGCACAACGTCAGACTGGGCTGCGCAGCTGTGTTTACTGTTTTTACTGATGAAGCTCGTAAATGACTGTGTATTGATTTGCCAATTGGATTTTAAAAAGTAAAATCAACTAGATGAGATCTCGTTGCGAGCAACGAGTAGGTCTTCCGTCCGATTTTGCGATGAGATGAGATGTGATTTTGATTAAGTTTTCGTTAAAAGATAATGATATAAAGATTTCCCTCCTTAGATTTCATTCTTTTGATTTATATAACATAATCTTGAAAATCTTTCGTTCAATATTGATTTTCAAAATATTTCCCCTTTTCGAGATATGAAGTGTAAAAGATTTAGCATTCTGGCCCTTTTGGCCCCAAATAACACAATAGAGAATCAAAATTTTACAACATATTGTTGCATATTGCTATGTTAAGAATTTTTGCTTCAGTAATTTAAAAACAATTTCTTGATCATTGAAGAGTTACATATTAGTCTTTTGGCCCCTCTGAGCCCCTAATTTGAAGGATCAGTCCCTTTTTCTTGATATCCGATGAAGACTTGTGATTTTAAACATTTTTTGTTCAACAACTTTTCAGAAGTTTCTTCTCGTTTTCGAGATATATAGAATAAAAATATTTTGGGGCCAATTCTTCAAGCCCTTAATTGGTCCGTTTTGCAAAAATTTAAAGGATGCATATTGTTCAGAACATTATTCTAAATATCTTTTGTTCAATATTGCTTATCAAAATATCTCACCTTGTTGAGATATAAAGCGTCAAAGATTTAGCATTCTGGCCCCTTTTGGCCCCTTATTACGCAACATATGATCTTATTTTTATAATATATCTTGGCAAATTGTTAAGATGAACATTTTTGCTTCAGTAATTGATAACAAAATATTGATAGTTAAAGAGTTATAGATGAAAGACTTTTGGCCGCTCTAAGTCCCTAATTTGAGGGGTCAGCCCCTTTTTCTTGATATCAAATGAAAAGACTTGTGATTTTAAACATTTTTGTTCAACAACTATTCAGAAGTTTCTTCTCGTTTTCGAGATATGTAGAATAGAAATATTTAGGGGCCAACCCTTCAAGTCATTTATGGGATCGTTTTGCAAAATTGAAAGGGTGCATATTGTTTGGAACATTATTCTGAACATATTTTTTACAATATTTCTTACCAAAATATTTCCCCTTTCTGAGATATGAAGCATCAAAGATTGATCATTCTGGCCCCTTTTGGCCCCTTATTATGCAATATATGATCAAAATTTCATGATATATATTTGCAAATTGTTAAGTTGAACATTATTGCTTCAGTACTTTATGACAAAATATTAATCATTAAAGAGCTATATATAAAAGACTTCTGGCCCCTTTGAGCCCCTATTTTGAGGGGGTAGTCCCTTTTTCTTGATATCAAAAGAAAGGTCTTATGATTATGAAGACTTTTTGTTCAACAACTACTCAGAAGTTTCTTTTCGTTTCCGAGATATGTAGAATAGAAATATTTAGGGGCCAGCCCTTCAAGTCCTTACTGGGATCGTTTTGCAAAAATTGAAAGGGTGCATATTGTTTAGAACATTATTCTGAACATATTTTGTTCAATATTGCTTATCAAAATATTTCCCCTTTCTAAGATATAAAGCATCAAAGATTTATCATTTGGCCCCTTATGGCCCCTTATTACGTAATATATGATCCCAATTTTATAAAAGGTAGTTTTAAATTGTTAAGATAAACATTTTGCTTCAGTAATTTATAACGAAATATTGACCCCTAAAGAGTTATGGATAAAAGACTTTTGGCCCTTTGAGCCCTTAATAGGAGGAAAAAGCCCTTTTTTCTTGATACTAAATGAAAGCTCTTATCTTTCTGCACAACTTTTGTTATATATGTTTTCACAAAATATTAACAGGTATAAAGATATAAAAGAAAACGTGTCAAATTTAGCGAGATGCTTTTGAGCCTATTTTTCGAGCCCAGGCGAGCTTCAGCGCCTTTTGCGCCGGGAAGATATAGACGCAAAAAAGCACATCTACAATCCTTCTTCTACCTTCACTGATAATCTCAACTCAATATCTTTAGTCGTTTAGGAGTGATTGCCAGGACAAGCCGACCCTCTGATAATCAGAAAATCGTCCATATCTCACGACCGGAAGTGACGTCATCGACGACGAAAATTTCCGACAAGGTTCAGATGAATATCTATCAGATCTGAAAGTTTGGTGAAAATCGACCGAGCCATTTCCGAGAACTCGCTTGCACAAAATCGGTAAGAAAAATAATAATAATAATAGGGAAAAAGAAACCGAACGAAAACAATAAGGTCTTCCGTTGGAGACGGAAGACCTTAATTATGGTCCATACATAAATAAATATTATTGCACACACTTGGGAGTGTGAGAAAATAAAGAAAAATAACGTATGTCCAAGAACATGTGACAAAATTCAAAATCCATATATTTAAAGTTATCATAAAAATAGCTTTACGTCAGACTGGGCCTTTGCAGCTTGCATATACAATGTATTTACATCTATAACGTTCGTAAAATAGTGTGTATTTTTTTAAAAAAATTCTTATATATTATCTAAATCATGGTCTGTATTAAAATATCATCTTACACGTTTGCTGATGCTGTCATTATTAAGATAATTATAGCATTTGTCCACGAACTTTATGGACAACCCTCATATATGCACTACTTGAACAGTAGTTTTTGGGAAACAAATGTTTTTATAGAATGTTTGAAACTCAATCAGTCATAATGGAATCTTCGATAAAACAAATTTCATGGTTTAAATTTTATTTGCATTACATATGAGATTACGACATTTTCTCTCCATTTGAATTTGCAGAAAATGTTATATATGTATACATTTAAAAAGAAAATTACAAAATAATTTCCCTTTGCGCTTTGATAGAGTCAGTTACATAAACATGGCACCTGATCCCACCTTTGATATTTTTAGAGGTCCGTGTTTGCTCTGCTCCTACTTTAATTTGCTTCATGATCAATGACTTTTGAGTTTGATTACTTTTCGTTATCTCCATATTTCACAAGATAAAAAGTAATTCAATATACATGTATGTTATCATTTTATGTTACTGTCCCTGAATAACTCATTTTTGCTTAACTTTTCAAACGAGGACTGTCTGTCATTAAGAGACATACTCAATATTACACTAGATTTTTTTTTCAGGTTGATGTTTGGGATGATGTTACCTACGTGGTTCCTGTCTATGTGGATGAGCAACACAGCGACCACAGCCATGATGATTCCTATAGCTAACGCAGTCCTTCTACAAATCAAAGAAACGCGGGAGGCAGAGAAAAGGGTGGATTTAACAGGTTTCCAGTTTTAGCTTCACTTTTTGTTTTAAACCTGTTTATTTTAATTTTTTATTAAGGAGTAAAAACTGTGTATCTTTTTACAACATTGAAAAGCTATTTCTCTCTAAACTCTAAATAAATTGCAGATTTCAAATTAAATAGTTAGATTCACAGTTCATGTATAAAGTTTTCTGATAATATTTTTTTCATTTATCGATGTGCCCGGATATTTACAGGAAATTACTGTTACTAAGTCACCAATTACAAATGATTTCTATTCATGGATCTTAAATCGTAGAAATCTGAAGGAAAATAAACTCTTATGAACATGACATTGCAAAAGCCACGATTATATTCTCTGAGAAATAGGCGAGATGTTAACTTTAAGATACATACCACAAACAAATTTTCTTTTGTACCATACAGAAGAGTAACATTGCTGTTTTTTTTTCAATATTTCTTTCAATCGAAATATAATTAGAAATTTTCTTTGTGTAAAATGTAAAAAATAGACTCTTGAAAATCTTCATAGAAACTTTACTGTAACAAAACTTCATATATTTCTTAAAAAAGTTTAAAATTATGTTTTATTAGCTGTAACGTTACATTTTCCCACTCTTCACCAAATTATGCAGCTTGGTCAAACATACAAGTTAAATTGTCTAAAGAAACGGATGTCATTTCTTTAGTCAGAGAGGCACCTATTTAAGCAAAGATATTTAAATTTTGGAAGAAAAAAATTGCTTGTGTTATTTATCCTTAAAACTATCTGCGCTATGTCCATATTATGTAAAACTAGTGGTATTATTTCGTCATAGATTTAAAGTTATCCGTAACTTGCTTAAAATCTAACATGATTTTATCAAATTAAATCTTGAGAGATCATAAAACAAAAATGGATGTCCATAACACATTGTTTTGATATGTAGACATGGAGATAATGGATCAGCAAAAGTATGGATTTATTTCCTACCTGTTGTATTCTTCTGAAGAACTTTCTCACCTTGAACATTACATTACATTCTTTATATAAAAAATCATTTACTTACCTTGTCATTGGTCATTTGCAAAATTATTTTGTCAAAAAACATTCTGATTGTACAAACAAGTAATCTGAAGTTGATATTAAAAAGATGCTTGAGTTTCTGATTGACAATATCTATTTGGTTTTTGGAGACCAGGTCTTCCAACAATCTATTAGAATTTCCATGGGTACCACTTGCGCCCCGTTATAAACAGACCTATTTTTGTATTCATATGAAGTAGAATTTGTTCAAAATTTTATACGTGAAAAGAAGAAAATACTTGCTATGGCCCTCAACTCGACATTTTCGACATTTAGATATATCAACGACATAGTGTCAATTAACAATGGTTATTTCCATTCTTATGTCGATACGATATATCCCAGTGAGCTTGAAATAAAGGATAGCACAGGGTCTAACACAACTGTTTCATATTTGGACATTTTACTAGAAAAAGACGTTAATGGCAATTTAACAACAAAGCTTTATAATAAACGTGATGATTTTAACTTTTCAATCGTCAACTTCCCTTATTTATGCAGCAATATACCTTCATCACCTGCATACGGGGTTTATATCTCTCAGTTGATTCGATACACGCGAGCATGCTTTATGTATGAACAATTTCTAAAACGAGGTAAGTTATTGAAAAACAAGTTGATGAAAAAAGAATATCAGCAGTCTCGTTTTAAGTCAGCATTTCGTAAATTCTATGGTCGATACAATGACCTTGTCAGCAAATACAATTTATCATTAAGTCAAATGCTGACTGACAGTTCTTATACTAATTGTTAGGCCATTACTTACACGCTGAATTGTCGACGGATTTTTCCGTTATTTCCCGATCATGACAAGGAACACACGGCGGGTGTGGGTCGGCAGTGGATGCTCACTCCTCCATGGCACCTGCCCACCTCTGATGTTTTAGAGATCCGTGTTTGCTCTGGTCCAAAATTTGTATTGTTTAATGGACTTCTGAGCTTGAATACTGTTCGTTATCTCCATACATGTCATCAAGTTAATATTTGATAGGGTGCATTGGATTTACCCTAGTTAAGTAAGTGGGAAAATACATCTACATGCTAGTAATTGATTATCCTCAGAGTAAAAGTATCCATATGGATACAGTATAAAATGAGTAGTTTTTTTTTACATGTACAACTCAGTTTGTGATCAGATGGATGGTGATACTGAACTGAAAGTTGTCGTAAAGAATGGCAAAAAAGATAGCTCCAACCTTTCTACAAACGTGATTGACGACCCAAGAAAAGAATCGTGAGTAAAAATTCTAGCTTCGCACAAAAGAATTTAAATTAACGTTCATTTGCACATAAAATATCTTTAACTGTATTTCTTGATATATATGCAATTATGCTTGATCCATTTGTCAGAAAAGAACAAAGTGACAGAGAAAAGAACGAAGAAGCTGATTACTCACGTATGTGTAAGGCGTTGTCGTTAGGAATAGCTTATTCTGCAAACTGTGGGGGCATGGCTACCCCTACCGGGACAGGTCCAAGCGTCGTTATGAAAGGAGCCTCAGATATGTGAGTTCAATACATTAATACATGACAAAAAATATCTTCAATCTAATCTGCTTTTTATTAATTATCATATTTATAAAATGACCGAAAAGACAATTTTCTTAAATGCTATCAAATACTCTAAATACATATTTACCACGCTCCAAGGAAGATATTTTGCAATTTGAAAGAATGCGAGTTTGTGTATTTTTAGAGGTGTAAAACAAACAATGAATGGTTAGAGAAGTACTGACATAGAATTTTATCATGAAGACGCTACAAATCGGATTGCTAACTTCTAAATATTAAAAGTTCTTTAACATTTATTTGCATTTATTTAAACAATAAAATGCTTTCTTTGGTTGTTAGAACGGGAATTAATGCCATGATAGCTTGTTACAGAAAAAATACAGAACCCGCGTAAGCGAGTCATGTAATTTTTTTCTGCAATAGCTGCGACGTTACATGTAATTCCCGTACTAACAAACAAAGAAAGGCAATTTATTGTTTATATTTATATCTGTATAAAAAAAATTAAAATAAAATCGAATATGTTCAATATTGTATTATAGATGTGTATGTCATAGTATGCATAATTGATGGAAGACCCGTTGTTTAAGAAATCTATGCAGTTGGCTTGCTTAGTGGCGATTACTGACTGATAAACGTCAATGGTTTTCATAAGAAATAAAGGAAATAATATTCAGTGGATGTAAATACATATCTATATGTGCATACATATAAATGTGTTTATTCATCTATCAAAAGTGCTTTTGAAGAGAAAAATGCTACATCCCCTGTTTCCTTTGCAACATGGATGCAATACTGTTTACCAATATCAGCAATCCTTTTGATCCTTGTCTGGGTGTTTCTACAGATTATATTCCTACGCTGCAAGTGAGCTTTTTTTCATAGCTTTACTCCCTTCAATGAACATAAATTAGAAAAAGTCCCATTTTTTGCTATAAAATTTGTTTTTTTCTTTCCCAAGAACGTATAATAGAAAATCCCCGGGACAGATTGCGAAAGTGAAGGAGGTTATAAGAAGACAGTATGAAGAACTAGGGCCATTAACGTAAGTTTCATGCTAGCTAAAGAATTAAATAAAACAAAAACTGTATAATCTTGCTTATCATACTCTTTTCGTATTGTAGCTTCGGGCAGGGAGCAGTAATTGTACACTTTGTTTTGCTGGTACTATTGTGGGTCACCAGAAAATTAGGTGGAGTTCGAGGATGGGGAGATTTATTTCCAGAAAAGTAATTACAGTACAGTATTTAAAAATCTTTTTCTAAAGAACAGCAAAGTCATGATTAAACAGATTTATATGAAAGCATCTTCAGGTAGTGAAAATTCTAGATTGTTCAAATCATGACCCCGATTGATAAGAATCGGACAACAGTGGGCGATCAAAATTTTACAAAAGAGTGTAAAAATCTCAAGAACAGCAAGGCCATGGTTAGTCATATTCACTTGGTGTTGATTCAAGTTTGTTCAAATTCTAACCCATGGGTAAGGGTGGGGCCGCGTTGTGCGATCAAAGTTTAAGATAGGCGTGTATAAGAAATTTTTAAAAAGTCTTCTCAAAAGCAACAAAGCCGCGGATGTTTTTATGTAACAACTAATTTGGTTTAGATTTAAGTTTGTTCAAATCATGACCCCGGTGTTAGGGTAAGGCCACATTGGGTGATCAAAGCATAACATAGGAATATATAGGAAAAGTCTTTTAAAATCTTCTAGTCAGGAACAGAAATACAAGCATTAGTCATATCTATGTGAAAGCTTTCTTATGGAGTGTAAATTCAATTTTTTTTTTCAAATCGTGACCCTAGAGGGTTAGAGTGGGGCCACAATGGACGATGAACATTGTAATAAAAAGAAAAATATTTTCTCCCAAGAACAGTAATGTCATGATTAGTCATATTTATATCAAAGTAGATTGAAATTTGTTTAAATCATGGCCAATAGAGGGTAGGGTAGGGTCACAATAGGCTATCAAACTTTTACATAGGAATATTTGGGGAAAATCTGCTTATGAAGAACAGCAAGGCTCTCAGTGAGTCGGTGAGCGTTGTGACCCATGCATTGGCCTCTCATTGTTATAGCATTATTTCACTTAAATATGTATTTATTTGTAAACGAGCTAAGTGAAAAATATATATTTTTTCAAATAAAATTTCTATATATGTTATTTTTTTCATATTACAAAAATATTTTTATAGAGCTTTTTCAAATACATTGCTTTTCAATTTCGCCATTTACGATTCTTTAATCATTTTTCTCATTTTCAGAACAGTGACTGATTCCACACCAGCCATATTTATTGCTATCAGTCTCTTCTTATTTCCCTCCGTTTTGCCACATAAATTTAAAGGTTTAGCAAGACAATATTGAAACTGCTTAATACATGTATTTTTATATTCTCTAATTAAGCTGTAGAGGTAGCTTAAGAATTTAAAAATAAAATTCAACTTTTGATTTTAAATTTAAATACTCTCCTAATGCTGTGTTTTCCTTACTGACTAAAATTTGGATAAATAAAGATGGCTGTACTTCCAGACAAAGGAAAGCCACTGCCACCCCTTCTTCCGTGGAAAGCTGCCGAGAAGAATGTACCTTGGGGAGTAGTTTTATTGCTTGGAGGAGGGTTCGCTATCGCTAAAGGTAGCAAGGTACTATAAAAAGGAGAAATTACAATCATCTATTGGCTATAACTAATTTTATTTTGCTGCTATTGTCAATATTCGTAGGTCCCTGGAGGTTTATAGACCCCTTTTTTACAGACATGGCTGATTTATTTATTTATGGAAGAGCCCACTTGAAACTGATCGTTGATTTCATTTTTGTAAATTCTATCCTAGGGTTACTGGTCAAAGATAAAAATAAATTGGAGAAATCTACAAGATTTTTAAAAAAGACTGTTAAGCTATGTAAAACGGAAAGAAATGTCTTATTCGACTAAACAAATTTTATTCAAGTGCAATTTATCGTGTATAAAATCAAACTACTTTTGCAATTATGATCGTTCTATTAAATCAAATTACATTGTACCTCTTAATCTTCCAAACCTCTTATTTTCAGGATATTAGCTCCTTAACCAAGGAAATAACTCTTAAAAACTTTATTTTATTACTAGGTACTTTTTTAAAAAGAAGAACAAAATTTTCTTAAATCTTGCCTTTTAAACCAATGCTTATTAGTGTGAAATGAAATCAGAAGTAATATATGATGTCTTGCAGATATCACATGCATTTTTACAATATGTACTTATTGAAAAATGGAGTTACTTAATAGAAGAACAAATATACAACATAAGTATTAAACATATATTTTTTCCAAAGCCCTGGATAACTTTAATCCTAAAATAAACTTGTTTTCCAATCTTAAATTCGAAAATTCCTTTATTCACGTTTCCTGAAAATATAATAGTATTTGAGATTTGATAAATATCCCTAAATAATAGGATTATTAACATTGTCAAATACACATTACTATAAATTTGTTGATTTTCAAAACATGTGGAACAGACTTCCTTAATTAGTTCTTTTACTTTTATTATATTGTCTTAGATTTTATGATAGCCTTAACATTCTGTCCCTAATTGTTGTAGGTGTCTGGATTATCAAAACTGATTGGAGAACAATTAACTGTGTTTGAGGACTTTGAACCCTGGGTGATGAATCTTGTTCTGTGCTTTATGGTAGCCGCTGCAACAGAAGTAACAAGTAACATTGCTATATGTACACTGATGATGCCAATAATGAAAGAATTGGTAAATATTACTTTTTGTTCATATTTGTTTTATATATATCATCATATTTGTCTTATTTTATAGAAGCATGAAAATATTTAAGTACATTGCATGTAGCTTGAATCGCCCAAAGAAAATTATTATAAATAAAAGAATTAAGAAGAAAAAAAAAACAGTGACAGATTATAACCATTATAGACTTTCTCTAGTAAGTATGAAAATTAAGTAATTCGAACGTAATTAATTTTTTTTTCTTTTTCTAAAAAAAAATCCAGTCAATAACTCTTCAAGTCAACCCACTGTACTTTATGTTCCCCACGGCCATCGCTACATCCTTTGCCTTCATGCTTCCTGTCGCTACTCCACCTAATGCAGTTGTGTTTTCATATGGTTTTATCAGAGTATTGGACATGGTAAGATTTGAACATTGATTTTAAAGATAATCAAAAAAATCTCTTTAAATCTTTTAAAAAAGTTCAAGTTTGAAAAAAAAGATTTCCAGAATAATTTTTATAGCTGAGATAGGATATAAAAGCATCTTGATTTAGTGATTCAGTTATGCTTGAAAAGCATAGAATTGTCATAATGATTTTTTTTGTAAAACATATATACTTAATTGAATGAAATTTTGAATAATTATTGTAGGTTGTAGCTGGATTTCCACTGAATATAATAGCTGTTTTGGTATTAGTCATCGGGACAGAAACGTGGGGAGAAGCCATCTTTGGTTTCCATACGCTTCCTGGTGCTTTTAAGTTAGGAAATGATACAACAGTATTAACGAATGTAACAACTGTGTCCGTAAACTCAATGTCAACAGAAGGGCCAACCTTCTGAAAATACATATGTATATAAATTCATACATTGCCTATAATGTATCTACAACCTTTGCTGGATGGCTATTCTTTTTTAGCACAATTTTTTTTATGGCTTCATTACTTTTAGAATTTTTTGAATTGTTAATTTTTTAACCCTGCGTCTTAGACGTAAGTGCGGCAATGGCTAATTCTTCCATTTTAATGTTAACCTATATTTATGGATTATTTATAATAAATAATGTAAAAGCCATTTTAATTTTCACATACTTAAATGCATATGGTTCTTTTACTTAGAAATATAAATTACTCCTGTCTACTTATGTGTGTTTATCAACACCTATTTTTCCAAAAAATAACAATCTATTTTCCCATTTATTATTTTTACTAAATAGCCCTAATCGAAGAATTTCTATTTTACAAATGTGCAAGACAAAAACAGAATGATTGGTGTAAGAAACTGTTAAACTTTATTCTTCTGAAGGAAATTGTGTTTTCTGCGAGGAAGTAATACATCCACAGATAAAAATATATCTAGTGTTTTTAAATTGTAAAACTTTCGGTAAAAGCAAACAATTAAAGCTTAAACATCTTTATTATTAACGTTTATTAAGCGATGTGTTTTAACAAAATAATAATTTTCAAGCTATTAGAATAATAAATTTATACAGTTATATTCATTTGCTAACGTTAACATTGATTAATACTGAAAGCAATATCTTCAGGTCAAAAAAAATTTAAAAGTTTTAGAATGATAATAAATACATTAAAAATTACAAAATATGAAGAGATATGGAACAGGGATCCTTTAGTCATTATATATTTAACATTGTGCCAAGTTCCATTATGCGCATTGGGCTTTAATCCATGAACGTTAATTTGGTAAAGTTCTACGTTTGCTATTGATCTATGTTTCTTAAATGCTGGAAAAATTATTTAAGTGAAAAAGAAGGCTGCTGATTTTACCTGAATATAGTCAACTATGTAGGCACATAAAGACACCTGATCCCACCTCTTAAATGTCTGTGTAACAGGGCATACAACACAGCCATTTAAGAGGTGGGATCATGTGCCTTGAAAATATTTTGGTAATAAAATAATACATTCCCTTATATTTATGGATAAGCTATCAATAAAGCTATTGCTTATCTAATAAATTCATACTTCAAGCTACTCATTTCTGATATAAACATGAATTGAAGTACATTAAGCTGCGTTCCATTAGATAACAATCGCAAAAGTTATACTTTTCCCACAAAAATCAATAAATAAAATTATTTAAAAAAAAAAACAAGATTAAGCCCGTTTTCATGTTAGCCAACTCAACATTTAGACTGGTTTGCCATATTTTTGTCCCCCGCTTTCACTGACAGTGGGGGTATTAATTTGGGTCTGTCTGTCCGTCCGTCCGCCCGTCTCTATTTCTGTCTATAACATTTTCGTTTCCGTGCGATATCTCGAAAACCCTTTGAGCTTTCGCAGTGGAATTTTGCATAGCAACTCCCAATGGCCTAGAAAAGAACCCTATTTATTTTGAGGACAAAAGGTCAAATGTCAAGGTCATAACTTCATAAATTCTGTCTGTTTTAACACTCGTTTAACACTCGATATCTCGCGAATTCTTTGAGCTTTTGCAATGAAATTTTACATAACAACTCCCTGTGGCCTAAGGAAAATCCCTATTGATTTTGAGGTCAAAACGTCAAAGTTCAAGGGCGTAAAATTCATAAATTCCGTCTGTGTGTAACACTTTCGTTTCCTGGCGATATCTCAAGAAGCTTTTGAGCTTTAGCAATGTAATTTTATACCATAACTCCTTATGGCCTCTCTCGCCCCTCTCAAAGTGTCCCGCCCCGTTTTTTTTTTTTATTTATTGTATTAAAAGTCACTTGGCACTATTTTTAGCACAGGGTCATGGGAGAGTTATTACGTATAATACAGGTTGTCGGCGGACTTTATATTCTGATTACATCTATTAGAACTGTTTAGTAAAGGCTAAATTAGACGACATGTATTGTGTAAAATTTTGACAATATCGAACGTGAATATAAACCTTATATGTGACTTAATGTTTGCATTTAATTTCCTGTACAATCAAGTGCCTTCGTGCTCTAGGGGTATGATGCTTGCTTAGCAAGCGAGAGGCCCGGGTTCAAACTCCGGACGAGTTTTTTGGATTTACTAAATGATACTATTCAACATGTGAAATGAAAAAGTTATGACGTCTGGCATGAACAAACTCATAAAATAATTATTTCAGTGTGATAAATATTCTATGTATTAAAAAGAATCTTTTATACACATATTAAAGAATAAGCAATCAAATCTTTATATCCATATTGGCATTTTTTATTTGCTTGAATATACATGTATACATTTAATAATTCTACAAATCGGGGGGGGGGGGACTGCGCATGCTCTTTTTTTCCCCCAAGCGGGGGACACAAATTCTCTGAATTAGCTTGTTGGAAGTAGTTTATGACAGTATACTTCAGCCAAATCAGAAAAAAATTGTTATTATTCATGCCAAAAAAGCGGTTACAGAGAATGGATATTAATTAAAATTTCAACAGCAGGTTGTTGTTGAATGTTAAGGACTATGTTAATATCAGAAGGATTTTAAAGGTTAGATAATTATACGACATTAGTACTTGAAAAAAAACTCCAGTTAGCACAGATACTTGATTGATGATTTTTTTTACTCTGTTTATTGTAAGATTTTACTATACTTTAAGTATATTGCTTGACAGAATATTGTGGGAGTCAATCAAACCGTTATTATACATTAAATAATAATGTATAATATAACTTTTTATAATTTATGTTAGTTTACCAAAAGGAAATTAAGGTGAATGCAATATTAATCATGACACAAAGAAACAAAGGAAAGGAAAAGTCTGTTAGTTGTGCAGATGATATGTCTCTTTTGATCATCATTTGTGCGACATTGCTCCAAGTGCCATTGTTTCTCTTTGGTTTTATCCCAAGAATATCACACATTATTTGATACAACTCCACATTTGCTATTGGCTTGTTAACAAAGTTCTTCTTGAATGCTGAAATGGTGGAGAGTTGAATCTAAATCACACAATCAAAATGTTTCCAAATAGAAGAATATATATAATCGTACAAAGAATTTAATTTTTTTTTTAATTAGGAAGTGTTTTCATTCTGAACTACTTACCCGGCCCTGTTGCTCTAAATATTGCCCTCATATCTGGATCAGTATAATCATATCCGTGCATTCCTTTGTATGTTGTTCCAGGCACATAATAATCCTTCTTTAATGACAGAAATTCAATTTTCACTACAGTCCCACTAACATCTTCGCTAGCCAAGGGTTTCTGATACGCTACTCTCCTCATAAGCCCTTGGCATAGGGTATTTTAAAAAGTTGGGATTTTTTTCTCAAGTTGTGATTGGAGTTGATCGACATCGTTCGACCAATCAGCAATTGTTTTTTTTTATAAATGACGATATTTGCGTTCGGGATATATCTTGACTCTTTAATATCGGGAATGAAAAATGCAAGTAAACAACGATCCGTAAGATAACATGTCATTCTATGAATAGTTATATGGTGTCATCCAATATCTTAATCTACGTGCAAAATATGTGATTAAGAATCTATACTGAATGTGTACATTTGCATTTTAACATGTTTAAATAACAAATTAACATAACTCATTACCTTCTTGTTAATTATTCTTTAAAAACATTATTTTTTTAAATACGCTTTTGATTTTTGTCGATGACGCAATCTGTGCGTACCTGGTAAGAATCGTGATCACGTAACGAAAACAATCCCGTCTTTTGTCAGCACCGTATAATTATGAGGAGAGTAGCGTATCAGAAACCCTTGGTTAGCGAAGATGTCCCACTAATGATAAATTAAAGCGAGAGAAAGTCGTTGCGCTTACTTTAAGATTCAAGCATTTTTCTAAGCATACTTTTTATCTACGTTTCGCTACATCTGAAAGGGAACTACCTTTTTTTCTTTAGTAATGTTAATTCGTTCATTTACGTTTCAGGAATACATTTGTATTTCTGTGCTTAGGGAAGATGTATTCCTATGATTCAATCAAACCTAGATGTATTAATAATTACATTATTTAAATAATGTAATTTTATTTATTTATTCATATTTAATACTGAATTATTAAATTAATTTTATCAAAACTTTGAGCTCCTTTACCTTAATAAACTGACAGTGAAAAATCTATATTCAGAATTATGTACCTTAATTTAGAATATGAATAGTTTTAAAAGTTTCAAATGGGTCAGTTGAAATACATGAGGAAACATTTTGGGGGAAAACATAATTTTTTTTTCTTTTTAAACTCATAGCAACATCTTTCATAGAAATGGAGAATCCACGCTTAATTAAGAACTGATGAAGAATGAAGAATTTCAGGCTATACAATAAATACTTTTTTTAGTACCCATAGCAATAACCTTCATTGGCATCAAAATCGGAAAACAAATGTTTCATGATAGTAGTTTTCTCAAGAATCAAAGAACAAGGTACGGTTTTAATACATATCTGGCCCTATAATTTTCTAAAATATGAAAGTAATGTAAGAAATTAAAACTCGTGCTTTCTGAATTGTTGCACTTACATGCACTTAGATCAAACAAATCGTTTTCTCATCTGACCTCTTAGATGCTAATTGTGACGTCATAAACTTGTGCATTTACCAGTTGTTTTTCTTAAAAAGTTACAGAAGACATCAATTTTCAGTGGAATTTTCTTTCAGATAATATAGTCCAAATGCATCGGCCACAAAGATTTTGACATATGTGATTTTTCGAAGAATTTTACACATTATATCCGAATATTGAAGTGGGCGTCGGCTGTGGACACTATTTTCTCCAGGGAAATAACCCCTGAAATGAGTAATTTTGAGCTTTTTCTGTTTAAAACTTGGAAATATACCAAATTAATGACGTCCTCTTTCCTGTCATATTCTTTCATGATTTATCACACATGTACTCAACTCATATTTAAGCCAATTTCAAAACTTTCTGAAAACATAAAATTTTTAGGGCACAATAAAGCCAAAACTATATCTTCTTCTTTAAATGATATCACTCCAAAAACATAAGAAAATTGGCCAAAAAGAGGTTTATAAAGGTGGACAAAGACGGAAAAGAATGCTGATGAATGGACGACGAACACTTTACTGATGAATAATCTCCTATAGTTCTCAAACCACAGAGATGCATGAACATGTATAATACATACTGCGCATTCGCTACATTTCCATGGTGCCACTATCGCTGTTCCACTATCAGCTTCTATCACAATTGGTGATGTGCGTGGATGGTTTTTGAGATGATAACGATCAGGGATTGATTCCTTTTTATAAATTGTTATATTGGGCTTGTTAGCTGTTACTAAATCGTTGTAAACCTCGAAATATAATAAAAATTTGTTTGAAGCGACCATATTCAGAAGCCAATTCGTAAATATGTTAATGAATGAAAAAAAGTACAATGCAAGAGTTTACAATGCAAAAATCAGAGTCGACCACATTATAGACCCAAATAATTCCAAAAACATTCAAGGTGTAAAAACACTTTTTACACGTGTATTTCTTTTCATACCCCCTTTAAATATTCAGCAGTGTTTTCTTATACATGGCTGTTGCTTTTAAGGACTCATTACAAACATATTTTGATTCATTCAGGCGATAGACTGCATCTTCTTTTACATGTGTATACATATATGAAATCTGTGATCATATTAAAGGTATAATTCAATATTATGATTACCTTTTCAAGCTTTCCATCCATTGGCCAAATACCGACATAGGGTACCTCTGACATAATAACCTTTATATCCCGAAAATCCAACACATCAGTGATGTTTACCATCTTTGTGATATTGGTCATCCCATGATCAGAAAAAATCATTATGTTGACCTCATTTTGTAAATTAAGTGACGTCAGTTGCTCTCTGAAGCTCTGTAAATTCTTATCAATATCTTTCAAAACAGTTGTCAAGTTTTGAGAATCCACACCAAAAATATGTCCGTAGTGGTCAGGGGCTTCTAAGTATATTCCTAAAAATTACAGATAACAAAATTTAAAACTTAAAAACGTGGGAAGTTCATATCTACGATGTACAAACATTTTAAAATCCACAGAAGATTGCTATCAATAGAGTTTGGATACCTGGCAACGTCTTATGAATCAAATACTATAGAAAAAGAGAGACATTTTCTCAATATTAGCTCACGATTATTTTATATAGTTGGTTATCCTGTGGTGTATTCTTTTTCCCCGAAAATCTTAAAATCGTTTACATCTTATTTATTAAAGCTTGCAACTGAATGATGTTTAAGGTATTTACTTTAATAAATGTGTGTCTGTAAAAACTACTAGTTTCTGAAACTGATTTCACGGTAAAAACAAGGAAGACTCTAGAAATATATACGGAATACATATTTTTACACATGGTGATCAGAAGCCACAAGCACCCTGCTATATTTTACCGATAAGATCCGCTTCATCATTCTTAAGAAGTCCCACGGTTTGCTGAAGAGAATACTCAAACTCGGGAATCAAAGTTAACTTGTAATCAACACAAAGAGTGGGTTTGGTGCGTCTTATTGTCACGTCACATCCTGGCCAGTAGAAGAAATAAGATTTCTTTCCCTTAATGGAGAAATAGAAATAAACTTTAAGTTAAAAAAATAGATAAGGTAGTTATTCTTAACGGGATTTCTCCATGCAACAGCAGAGAGAGAGAGAGAGAGAGAGAGAGAGAGAGAGAGAGAGAGAGATTTAATAGATTTAATTACAATGAATGTTTTTACAATTATCATAGGAGGAAAAATTACAGCAGCGTATACTAAAATTTTCATTTATTGTAACAGAATTAAAGAAAAGTGCATATCTGCATGCATTGATTTAATAAAAGCTAGAGTCTACTTTTAATTCTTTACATAGTTGTTAAAATTAAGTTCCATGTAAGAGTTGCTAAAATCGTTGTTCTATTCAATCTTCTGTAAGAAAAAGATCATTTTGTAAGCCTATAACTATTCTAGAAATTGTTGGCCAGATGCAGGATCCCAGAGGGGGACACAGGAAATGTACATTCGCATTTAAAATATTTCATGCAACTTTTGTCTAGGTATGATTTAGAATTGAATTGTTCTAATAAAGTTGAAAATTGAACTCTTGTTTAGATTATTAGTGATTACATCCGAGTAAGGCTAGTCAAGAAACCTTGTTTGACATATCAACTTGGGACTTGATTTGTTTTATATATAACTCGAAATAAAAGACACCATAGTGTCTGACATATCTGCTTAATACTTGAATGTTTTTTGCTTTAGATAATGATGACAAACTAACAACTAAATTTTATGATAAATTTGACAAATCCATTTTTTCTATCATCGACTTTCCTTAATTTAGCAACATATTATGATATTATAATATCCTCTCATGGTGTTTCTGTCTCCCAGTTGATTGGATACATAAGTACATGTTCAGCGTATTTCGAAACCGATGCAGACTACTGAGAAATAAGCTGATTTTACGAGAGTATCAACAATCTAGTCTAAAGTTACAATTTGGCAAACTCTTAAGTCGATTAGATGGTACAGTGACCTTATTTGCAAATACAACATGTCGCTTCATCGAATTAAAAAATTGTTACTAGGCCATTATTTCCACATATTTTCCAAGAACAAAAAATCATCATCCGCATTTATAGGATACATGCGGCATCCAAAAAATGATGTCGCAGGAATCGACAAATTCGAATGTTATAAAAGACTACTAACAATTAAAATATGCTCTATAATATCGATCTATCTCTGCACTCTCCCAGAAATATAGGTCAAATGCAAGATACAAATCCTTATTTATAGTACATATCCTTCGATGCAAGTTTGATCGATACGGAATTTTGGATCACTAAGAACTTACCTACTAATTAGACTTAATTAAAATACAACTGTATATGTCACAATCTTCAGAATAGTTCTCCTGAAAAACTGCGAACGCAAAATTCCGATTCTCGCCGACACTTTCATATTTGAACATATTATTTTCTATTAAATCTATTTTTATTGTAAAGTTGACTTCGTCGGCAATTATTAATAGCTCTAATAACACTGTTTACTGACTAATTGCTGTTAAATACAACTCTTACCGACAAGGGGGTGTACAATGTGCAACGTTTTCCATTGAAATCAGAATTTATAATGTAATCGGATTTTGAAATAACATGGAAGTGGATAAATGACCTCTAAATCTTTTCGTTCGATAAATTTATGTAGGATTAATATCTGATTCATTTGGTAAAAGTTTATATCTGTCTGTTATTTGAAATGTATATGACTGTATTTAAACTAGGTCTGTGAACATATGCCCCCCCCTCCCCAGCGGGGAAACAACATGCATGGTACAAAGAAGAATTCAAAACCTCTTTTTCAGCAGTGATCCAAACAGGTTCTGCATCGTCCCACCAAAACGAAAGATTCTGGGCCGGATTTTCAGCAAGTAGAAAATTTTTGTCATTGATTTCGTCATACATATAGTTTCCTACCATACCATGGGATTCACAATGCAAACCTGCTTCATTAGACAGAAAAAAAGGGAAAACTTACAAATATCTGCATGGTACAAAAAAATTAATACACTCATAATTTTTACCGAAAAAAAGGTTATCAAATATTAAGATTTAAATTACTTAATCGAACAGTTTTGATTTTAACAAGATTATTAGAAATTAAGATTATTATTTTTTTCCAAATCACACTCCCAGTTGTTTTAAGAACTAAAGAGAATGATTTACCTGTCATGATAGTGTAATAATTTGGGTAAGATAAAGTAGGATAGTCTGACAACATGTACTCCGCCTTTACTCCCTCTTTTGCCATTTTAGCAAAACCTGGCAAATTCACGTGGTCAAAATAATCCCATCGAAATCCGTCCATGAGGATAACAACAAGTTTAGAACATGAAGCGAAGTAAAATGTCGAAATGATGAGGAAGCATATTTTTGTTGTACAATACATCATCTGTCCACGAGAATTGAAGTCTAATAAACTGGAGAAGGAAACAATTTTGGAAAAAGATTGGTATTTCTCCTTCAATGTACAGAATCTGACTCGAGAAAATCTACGATGATATGTGATAAAGTTTTCCACCTACTGTGCTTTTAAGCATTTTTAATGTACATACTGTATACCTTCTGTCAAAAACAAACAAGGGGTCTAGATCTTTTAGCAAAGAAAATACTTTTGTATCTCAATTTCTTATCGTACGTCAAATGTACATGTATACGAAAGCCGGATAGGTTCATTTTTGACAAGACAAAAAAAATATTTAACTCGTTATAACGAGATAATTATTTCGTTATAACGAGTTAGTATCTCGTTATAACGAGTTAGTATCTCGTTATAACAAGTTAATATCTCGTTATAACGAGTTAGTTATCTCGTTATAACGAGATAATTATCTCGTTATAACGAGTTAGTTATCTCGTTATAACGAGTTAGTATCTCGTTATAACGAGTTAGTTATCTCGTTATAACGAGTTAGTATCTCGTTATAACGAGTTAGTTATCTCGTTATAACGAGTTAGTTATCTCGTTATAACGAGAAAATTATCTCGTTATAACGAGTTAGTTATCTCGTTATAACGAGAAAATTAACGAGTTAGTTATCTCGTTATAACGAGTTAGTTATCTCGTTATAACGAGTTAGTTATCTCGTTATAACGAGTTAGTTATCTCGTTATAACGAGAAAATTATCTCGTTATAACGAGTTAGTTATCTCGTTATAACGAGAAAATTATCTCGCTATAACGAGTTAGTTATCTCGTTATAACGAGTTAGTTATCTCGTTATAACGAGTTAGTATCTCGTTATAACGAGTTAGTATCTCGTTATAACGAGTTAGTATCTCGTTATAACGAGTTAGTTATCCCGTTATAACGAGTTAGTTATCTCGTTATAACGAGTTAGTTATCCCGTTATAACGAGTTAGTATCTCGTTATAACGAGTTAGTTATCTCGTTATAACGAGTTAGCATCTCGTTATAACGAATTAGTTATCTCGTTATAACGAGATAATTATCTCGTTATAACGAGTTAGTTATCTCGTTATAACGAGATAATTATCTCGTTATAACGAGATAAAAATTGATCTAGAATTGATATATCTAAGTAAAGAATAGACCATTATTTATAGGAAATATACAGAAGCAAGTCGATCAAATTTGTTTGAAGTGTTCGTGATAAAGATTTTATGGAACAGCATACTAGTTTTTTTGTGTTATGCCTTTGATTAGTATTGTTTATTGGAAAAACGAAGACAAATATACGGAAACTTGTGACCGCCTCATGTTGTTGTGTTATACCTTAAAATTGCAAAATAGAATTAGTGTCATCTTCAAATGGAATGTATATAACATCAAAATTTTGTCAACTTGTACAAGGAGATCAGAAAAAAAATGATATACTCTGGCTGATTTAACTGCCCTGTTCAAGCTTTCTTGAATTTGTTAAAATTATAATAATGTTTGCGTAATATTTGTCGAAATAAAAAATGCAAAGAAATAATCCCATTATTTTAAATATTCCGAATAAATCACGTGGATATGAAACCATTTGTTAGGCTTTAACGATCATATTTTGATAATTCCTTGCCTGTTAACAAGGAATACCAGTTCAATTTTATCGTCTTAAAGGGGCAAGATCAAAATTCAATGTCTGACAAAAAACTAAATTCACGTTGTTTTTATCATCAATCCCTCCTTCCCCTCAATAATAAATATGATCAATATCAAGAACTAATACTGTACTTATCACTTAATAATTTATATATTTCTTCTGTTTATTAAAAGAACGAAACATTTTAATTTACCAATTTGGCATGGAATCTTAAATTACAATATGTAATTTTTGCGTTATTATCAAAGTGGTAGAATTAAAAAAAACTTTTGGAGCTCTTTATTCTACGGAAGCCACAAATAAAGGTGAAGGTCAGCATTAGTAAAAACAGTTGACATGTGATCCTTTTTGGGTATAGAATGAAAGTTTAATATCTAAAGTTTACAATATGATAAGCATTACTTAAGGTGTATTTCAAGCATAAATTTTGCCAAGAAATGTGTATTGTATGTTGAGACAGGATTTTTGATATTATCACTCGTGCTTCGCACTCATGAAAATATAAAAAAAAATTCCTGTCACACTCGTGAATTAAATTCCATATCAACTACAAAACATTGAATATCCTCTATTTATTAACCCCCCCCCCCCAAAAAAAAAAATCATCAATCTCTTTTTGAAATAAAAATTATATGCTTGTAAAATATACATAATAAATATTGTGATGAGGAAAATAATTAACGACATTGCTTCAATGTTGTATTAATAATATAAATGTACATATTTAGTTTTAGGCCTATTCGTTGATCAATCCTAAGTAAAAAGATTATAAAAGTGAACTGGCTTTGTAAATTCTGTAAACTTTTTTTTTTGTTTTGTAAACTCTGGTTTGACTTTCTGACACTACGTGGTAAACATATAGGATCCGCCAAATAGACGTGAATCTCAAATAGGTCTCCGTGAATCTCCACAACTTGGACCCCCCCCTCCCCCGCAAAAAATATAAACAGTGAATCATGACAGAATATTAGATAAAATGTCAATATCAGCAGATCAGATTTAACGTTTTATTACTTAAAAGGATGTAATATCATTTTTGCTTCACCATTCCTCATTATCGTGGACAATATGCATAAGCTAAGTCACAAAGTTCAAGGGGGGGGGGGGGTAAACCAAGTAAAATATTTGACAAGTAAAAAGAAAAAAAAATAGATTTGATATTCCAACTACGAGTATTCGCCATTATTTTCGGGAGATATTTACTCAGGTAAAAAATATATGGAGGTAGGGGCACAAAGATACTCTTGACCGACCCCGTTCAAAAGTGGTGGTGTGGACATTAGCCCCTCTATTACTACGCCTCTGATCATACTGCTGATGTCTCACCATCCCCCGTCTTCAAAACATTTCTGAATCTCAGAAGTAACATATGTATAACACTGTAATCTATATATTATATGTTGCATAAACGATATGTTGCACTTATATTGTCTCTGATATTTAATTTTAGCGGTATAGAAATTGATATATGAAAGTGTATACCCGATAAGTCGTCCAAAACATATCGAAATAGTGTCATTCATCAGAAATAGTTGTCATAAATAAATTGCCAAAGTTTGAAGCAAGTATGTTTGGCAATATTATTTTAAGAAAAATATCGCGTCCTAATGCAACAATTTGAGGAGTTCACGAACATGTGTAAATGTGTTCGCCTTAGAGTTGCTATGATTATTGACAGCGAGATAGTTCAAGATTTAATCATAAGTAAACCCAGAGCAAATTAAATTTTCAACCATTTATCAATTGTTCAAGTTAAATTTGACTGATAATTACTTGCTAAAAATTCAATTGCATTTAAAACTGCAGCCATTTTTATTCCTATATTGCTATTAAGTCTCGAAATAACCAGAAAACTGTCTCGTTATAACGACATAACTAATTCGTTATAATGAGATAATTATCTCGTTATAACGAGATAATTATCTCGTTATAACGAGATAACTAACTCGTTATAACGAGATAACTAACTCGTTATAACGAGATACTAACTCGTTATAACGAGATAATTATCTTGTTATAACGAGATACTAACTCGTTATAACGAGATAACTAACTCGTTATAACGAGATAACTAACTCGTTATAACGAGATACTAACTCGTTATAACGCGATAATTATCTCGTTATAACGAGATAGATAACTAACTCGTTATAGCGAGATAGATAACTAACTCGTTATAACGAGATAACTAACTCGTTATAACGAGATACTAACTCGTTATAACGAGATAACTATCTCGTTATAACGAGTTAATTATTTTTTTTTATCTTGTCAAAAATGAGCCTATCCGGCTTTCGTACATGTACGGCAGCTTTTTGCATAAAAAATTCTAACATGTTGAAAATGTTGAAACGTACGATTCAATGATAAAAAAATATGAAGATTGATATTTCATCTATTATTTATTGTTATTAGGCAGGATTTGTGACGGTAAATTTGTCGCCCTGTACATATTGTCACCAGCAACATGAACAGAAACAATGAACTTAAAACTATTAGGGTCTTTGAGTGTGTCTTGTAGTCTAATTAGAAGAAGACGAAGGGAGCTTGAATGGAAGACACTAGCGTCCAAGATTTGTAGAAAAAGATTGTATAAACGTTTTCAAATCAATTAGACGCTTTTCTGTAATTATCTATAATTTGCTTTTGGTAACTTGACTCATTTGAACATTGAATCAGCAGGGTAAGTATTGAATTGCCTACTAAAAGCTGAGAATTTAGATGAAATATGGAGATGACGAACAGTATTCAAGCTCAAAGTCCATTCAAACAATGCAAATCGGGAGCAGAGCAAACACGGACCTCCAAAACATCAGAGGTGGGACCATGTGCCATGGAGGAGTGAGCATCCCCCGCTGACCGGTCACACCTGCCGTGTGCTCCTTGTCTTGATCGGAAAAAAAATCCGTAGACAATTTAATTTTTAAATTATGGCCCAACAATTAGTATAAAAAACGTCAGTCAGCATTTAACTTAATGATAGGTTGTATTTGCTGACAAGGACATTGTATCGACCAAAAAAAACTTGCGAAATGATGACTTCAAACGAGAGTTTTGATATCCTTGTTTCATCAACTTGTTTAACAATAGCTTGCTTCGTTTTAGAAATTGTTCATACGTAGAGCATGCTCTTGCGTATCGAATCAAATGATATTATTCTTGTGTATCTGTATATTGTGGTAAATAAATATTAATATTTACATTTGCTGTGTTTTTCTACTATACTTACTAAGAAAATTGATTTGAATGCCATTTTCGTGTAAACTCACGCGTAGAAATATAAACGGAGAAACTCGCGCTAACGTGACGTCACAATGAGGATACAGAGACGTCAATAAAAATTATATAGGGCAGCGAGAAATTCAAACATTGAGTGTATTTTTGCTGCGTTTAAACATGTAAAATGTATAATTATATAAGGAATATTTTTCAGTTTTGTGTGAGTTATTGGTGTGTAAATCACACAGACTTGTCATGTAGGCATATTTTTCATGAAACGTGCTAGCGCTTCATGAAAAATACTTTGAATTGGAACAATCAAAAGTGAGGAATAAGTTCTGATCATCTTTTTTGAAGCTTATATCAAAATTCTCGGTCATCCGACTTTATATCTATGGAATGGACACCATGGTAACTAATTCAACTTTTCTGCGCATGCATATCTTAAAGAGGAAAAAGTAAAGCAATATTTTCATGTTGGGGCGAACTAAAATTATTTTTACTTACATTTTTCTCCATAAAAGTAGATTTTTTAGGTTCTGAAACTTGTAATTTTCTGAAACCTAATACTTTCAAGAATTGAATACAATTTGCACGTATCTTGCAAAAATTCTACTTTTGTCAAATTTCACGTTTTCCCGTTACGATGTCTTTTTAAATTACTCCAGACAATTGAGACCAATCATTGCAAATACATAGATGAAAGCGTGATTTTGTAATCAACCAGAATTTCCTCTGGCCTTTATTAATCGGTGTATAATTTACCTCTTGTGAGCAAAATTATTATTACTGGTGGTCGTATAGAAAGAGATATCTTGGTATTTTGAATGAGTTTATATTAATCTTGTCAATTGCAACGCTCTCACTATTTACATTGTATATCGTAAAGTTTTTTTATTGCACTGCTTCATTAGAGTTAAAAATGACGAACATTGATTTTCTTTCATTGAACAAGCAAATTCATGAAAACTGTTAAAGATATAAGGTTCAATTTAAGTACCATTTTGTGATAACTCACGCATATCAATTACACAGAGAAACTAAAAAAGTTTCTGTAGAGAAAGAATCAATTAAAATCCAGAGCTAGGGCAGACACAAATATAAGAAGTGTCTATTTCTGGTGTGTATAAGCAATGTGAGTATGTGATAATTCGCATAATTTCAAGTGGATTATCTTCATACAAAGCAGAAACACATTAATTTCTTATAATTAAATTCCTTTGGAGATACCTACATAAGTTTTTAATCGAACTTCAGCAAGTCATAGTGTTTTCTGCACCGAGATGATACATCCACTGATAAAAGATTAATGGTATTTAGTAACTTTATTTCGTAAGATTTTGTTTCAGTGATATCAACATATAAAACACATCTTTTCCATTCTATTTAATGACATACTTTAGAAAAAAGGTCAAATTTCAAGCTAGAAAAATAAAAGTTATACGTTATGATTATGTATTATGAGGGTTTATAAATGACAAATTATCAATTATCAAATCTATTTTCTATAATTTTCTATATATTTGTTCTATTAATTTTCGGTCTTGATTTACATCTGTAGTTAAAGGTTAATTGTTTTATTTGATGTTTAGAAAGAGCATTTTTGCACATGGTAGCAATATCTAATCCTTGACATCTCTTTCCTGTCACACGATATCAATGTCATTCACTCTTACTTGTTATCAACTTTATGGTTAGATCTTAGGATTGTGTTCTTTGAATGTGTTAATTATGTTAAGCTCTACCTAATTTCAGTCTTGTAAATTAATGTTATCCGGATTTACCCTGTCCATGCAACTGTCTTATCCTTAAGTTAATTGGCTGGACAGTACGAAAGTGGGAGGTGGTATCAAAGATTAGATGTGAGCGAGTTTAAATTGAGTCAATCTACGAAATTTCTTTGTTAAATTCAGTTTGTTCACAATGCATTTGTGAAATTAATATGTTTGGACATAATAAATTCTGAACTTTAAAACCGTTTTAATCATTAACAACAATAATACAATACACATATATTCAACTCTTAACTTTGAATTGATTTTATGCAGTTTTCTCCTACAATTACCGTGCGGAATTCACATAACATTAAAACAGTGCTAGAATTATGCAAGATACACTAAGGATCACTAGAATCGAGGATACATGGAATGGGGACCCATTAGCCAACATATATTTCACATTATTCCAAGTTCCATTATGTGCATTGGGTTTTAATCCTAGAACGTTACACATAATTTGGTAAAGTTCTATGTTTGCTAATGGTCTATGTTGATAGTTCTTCTTAAATGCTGAAAAAATATACACACAGGGTATTAGCATTATCCTTGTGATTAAGAATTCTTTTTTTGTTCAAAATTATAAATAAATCATACTTCGTTCTCAAAATTACCACATTTTCACATAAAAAGACATATTTTATTTTACTCTTGTTTTTCCCTTACCTGGTCCAGAAGCCCTGAAAGTAGCCCGCATTTCTGGAACTAAATTGTCAAATCCATGGATACCTATGTCTTTGGTTCCCGGTGGAATAACCTGTATTTCAATTAAGATGCACATGCTTTTAAACAATAATGTATGCCTCGGTGACGCAGAAACAATCAAATGATATTTTTTTTATTCACTTTTATAATTTGAAGAATTAAAACTTATTTTCATTGATAGTTTTATGAAACAGTGTCATGTGGAAACCAAGATTTATTGTAATAATTACTTACACTACATTCGCTACATTTCCAAGGAGAAACCACTGCCACGCCATTGTCAGGTTCTATAACAATGGGCGCGGTTCGTCTATGGTTCTTTATATGATAACGGTCAGGAAGGGAGTCTTTTTTGTGAACTGTAATGTTTGGCTTGTTTGCCCTCACTAAGTCGTTGTATACCTTCGAATAAGAAATACGTTGACTTAAATTTAGTTGTTTTGCTTTGTGATATCAAGAGATTAAACTATCCACATTATGAAAAAAAGAATTTATTTGGCCTTTTTTCTTTACTTACGAACTTTTCTGCTATTATTTTCTTTATCTTTTTTCCCATTACTTGCATTATGGGTGTAATATAAGTATCATTTGTTTATCAATTCAACATCATTCAATGAAGAGAGATCACAATGGCGGCAAAATGGAGAAAGTAACTAAGTGGGGGAAGGGTAGATGAGGGACAAATTTCCCCAGTTGGTGCATTCCTAGTCAATAGCATTAACTATGACCTATTGACCTACATTTACCTTTACAATTAGTTACAATAACCCATGCCTCTTAATAACCTTTCAAGATGGGACCAAAGAGGTATATCAAGTTCAAATTCATAAATAGGGTCATGTAATAACCACTAATGGAATGAAAATTCACTAATGCTATAATGTGATATAATGTAGCATGTGTTACGTTGTAACTTTGCAATAAATAATGATACAACTGTGTCATTAATTACAAATCAATTTGAGTTTTAATGATGCAACATCCACTAATGAAACAACATTTTTGTATGTCATTAATGAATGTAAAGTAATTCACTTAATATGCTAGAATTATATAATACCAAAAGTTGGTTTTATTTCATTACTTTAGTGGTGACCTGCATAATAGGGCGCAATTTAAAAAAAACGACCTGAGTTAAAAAAAAGGAGAAGGGTCTCTTGCCGATATCCATATATACAGTCTTAATAACTATGAATACTTATGGAAAGCATAAACTCCGTTTTATTATTTTTATTTATTTATTTATTTTTTTTTTTTGACAAACAACTTATTGTGAAAAAGTACAAATTACGTGATTATAACAAAACAGGCATATGGGGACTTTTCAGATGATAATGATAAATATATAAGAATATATAGTTCTTTACCTCTCGAACTATCTTGAAAATTTTGTTTAACTTTTTTTAAATATGATGAAGAATGTATGATTAACCTTATTTTATTTCGATTAAAACTTAATTTGTATCATATTGCAAAATCGTATTTACCTTTTCAATCATTCCTTCCTCTGGCCAGATTGTTAAAAAAGATGGCTCTTGAAATATGATTTTTATATTTGTAAGGTTCAAGGCATCAGTGATGTTCACTTTCTTCGTAGTATTGATCATTCCGTGGTCAGAGAAAATCATCAAATTTACTTCATTATCAAGACCAGATGACGTCAAATTTTGGCGAAAATAACTTAAAGTTTTGTCAACATCTACCAACATTTTATTTAATTCCACCGAATTTACACCGTAACGATGTCCAAACAAATCCAGAACTTCTAAGTATATCCCTGAAAAAAAAACATTTTAGGCGTTTTAATAAAATGTCCTTAATTTTGCCTTTAAATTAAAACAAAATATACATCGTGGAAAGCGAATACTTTCAAATTCATTTTATGCTTGCTGAAGGTTACCAATCAAATCAGCAGAATCATTCCTGAGAAGTTCCATAGTTTTCTGAAGTGAGTATTCAAAATCTGATAGCAGTGTGGCACGTGTATATTTTTCACAATATGTTGGTCTCACTCCCCGTATTATTGCGTCACAGCCCGGCCAATAAAACATAAAGGACCTTTTCCCCTGTAATTTTATAAATGAAATTAATAATAAGTTAACATATCAAATAAGAAGTTTTTTTTAAATATATTTACATGAACAATATAATTGAGATAAATCGTGACCTCAGCAGGGATTATATTCTTGTACAGCTAAACTTGGCAGTAGTGTTTTATTAAAGTAATACAAGGATTTTATTTAAGTCCAAAATTCGTTCATAACAACTAAAATGGTAAATTGTATTAAAAAAATATTAATAATATGCAACACACAATAGACGTATTTTTGGAACCTACATTTTTACATGTATACCTCTGAATAAAGGGGTTTACATAAGAAATGAAATGTCTATGCCCAAATTGGAAGGGTTTCAATACCAGTCCATCTCTCTGGCATTCTGAAACTTTTATCTATCTTGTTCATATTATTTTGAAAGTGAACAACATAATATTTGAACATTTCGTAAGTTGGTATTTTATGACTTAATAGTGTATCTCCACCTTGTTAAAATATTAGGGAATTATATGGGGTCATATTATTAGTAGCATTAATGAGTAGTGGAGATCTGAATTAATCCCATAATTACTTTAGATTGACACAATAGTGGCTTATAATTCGAATGTGCATTGTATGTCATCACCCTGAAATTGTTATTGGAAAGTAAATATATCATGATTGTTTCGGAATATAATTTTCCATGTATGTATTCTTTCGATTGTGCCATCGCTAGTACGTGTACAGCTCTATATTGGTCAAAATTCACATCAAGAATGGGCTATGTTGGGTGATGTTTGTTGTTTTATATGAAAGAAAATGCACATATATTCTTGGAGCATTTCAGCTTTCAAAGAAATTGAGAGACATGAGTCTCATCTTCATACAAATCTACGTCATTTTCTTAGCTGGGATTGACATTTTTAGAAGAAAATAAATGTGGAAGGTAAATTCGATAAATGCTATTTAGAAGTCGCCCATTGTTCTTAACTCTCCATTCCTAAAAAATACCCAGGGACAATAGAATGACGTTAATAGTTTATTTTAATTCTTTAGCTTAATCCAATTCTAAGGGGTAAAGACAACATTTATTTGCTTTTATTTATGTATGATTCAAATAATCATTCCTTTATTTTACTGTATAATGAAATGTGAAGATAACGAGCACTAATCAAAAGTCCGATAAACAATTCAAATGAGAAGAACAAACACATACGGACCTCTGAAAACTGGGGTGGGATCAGGTGCCATGAAGATTTAAGCATATCCTGTCGACCTGTCGTATGCCCTTGTCATGACTGCGTAAACGGACAATTCAATGTGGAAATAATAGCCTAACAATTTATATGGAAGACATCAGTCAACAAGTGACCAAACAATAGACTGTATTTGCTTATGTGGTCATTGTATCAATGAAAGAATTTGCAAAATGCTGAGACTTTATACAAAATTGTTGATATTTCTGTATCATCAACTTATCTGTTAGAAGCCTGCTTTGTTATAGAAGGTATTCTTAGGTAGAAAAAACCCTGAGGCTTGTGTATCGAATCAAACGGGAAACATAATCACCATATGCAGGTGATAATGATATATAGCGATATAACGGGAAGTTGACGATAGAAACTTTAAAGTCATCACGTTTGTCATAAAGTTTAGATGTTAGTTTGACATTAATGTCTTTCTCTAGTAAATCATCCAAATACATGTATGAAACAGATGTGTCAGTCTCGTGATGTCTTTTACTTCGAGATGAATGGGTTATATCTATTCAATGTAGGAATAAAAATTGATATCATTAATTGATAAAACATGTCAAAATATCTAAATGTTGAATTAAAAGCTACAGCAAGAAACTTGTGTTTATGTAGCATGTAGATTTTTTTTAAAAAAAGTAGATTCTACTTCTTAAGAATACAAAAACAGGTGTGCTTATAATGTGACACATTAAGTACCTATCTGAATATCAACAGATTGATAGAAGACCTAATCTACGAAGATTACACTGATATTGTCAATACTTGATTTTTTTAGATAACACTGACAATTTAAAAAAACCCACTGCATACTTGTTTTTCCGCTGTGACCCATAATGGTTCTGCATCATCCCACCAAAAAGGAAGACTTTGGTCAGGGTTGAGACCAATTAGAAAGTTTTTGTCATGAATGGTATCGTACATGAAATTTCCTACCATTCCATGGGATTCGCAATGTAGACCTGAATTTATGCCATATGAAAGGTTAATTGAATTGATGTTTAATAAGTGATCTAACTATTTTTTAATATCGAATTTAGAGAAATACGTACACGGATTTGGTTGATAGATCATTTGTTCATAATGTATGGTTTAACAAATTAACATCTGTGAAAGAAAACTGTACATAAATATGTAAAAAAAAAAACAAAACAAAACAAAACAAAAAAAAAAAACAAAAACAAAAACAAAAAAAAAAAAACAAACAAAAAAAAAAAAAACAAAAAAACAAACCTAAATCAGAATTTTATACACATTGGAGAAATTTTTTTTAAAAGAAATATTATACCACCAAACCTGTCATAATGGAGTAAAAGTTAGGATAAGATATCGATGGATAGTCAGGGATAATGTACTCCGCCTTCACACCATCCCGTGCCATTTCAGCGAACCCAGGCATATCCACGTTGTCGAAATAATCCCACCGTAAACCGTCCATTAGTATAACGACGAGTTTTGAACTGTTCCCGAAATTTAGACTGGCAAACAGCAGTAAAATTCTCAACAGAAATATCATCTTCTCTCAAAATCTGAAAATTCACTGCATATAAAAGTTTTACTACGATGAAGCAAGTACGCTTGTTTACATTAATTTTTCTCTTTTCCCCCCTTCTTTTTTCTTCTATGGTTTCACTACCATATTCTACATGTACCTACATTTAAGGAGATAAGCCCGATATATTTTTATAACGTGGAAACTAAAATATTTAGAGAATGATGTTGCTCTTTTCTTGATTGATTTTTAAGTATCATAAGGAAAACTGTCCTCACTTTTTCTTGCTTTGCTACCTGTAATTTTCTCTCCATTTAAATATTCTGTACGGTAATTCTTAATTTGTGTACCATAAAGCAATTTTTTACACAGCAGTTGACTACATAAATTGTCTACTTTGTTTCAAATGATTTGTTGAAATTAATAACATAATCTTGTCAAAGTATTATTAATAATGAAACATAAACTCACTTTTAAGATAAATTTCCTGTTCAGTATATACATGTATATAGTATTACATACACTTGATCGTGCAGGTCTACGATTATGGAAGACTGTGACCTCGAAAGTGTAAAGGATTCTGAGTTAAAGTATACTTCGATCTAATGAAATCTGCATCCGTGTGTGAAGGAGACTCACTTTTACATGTACATAAGCGACGGAAATATGTCAATTATTTAGTCTTCATGTATCAGATTGAGTGTGATATTCAGATATTTTCACCTTCGGTTCCAGCTTTTGTTTATCTTAGGACATCACAGTCTACACCATAGTAAGATTGTTAATTAAATGTGTTGATTTTACATTTGATTCGGACATACATTACATGTTTATATGTATGGATATAGAATTCCAATTATGAAACGTTTTAAAGAAATTCAAGAAATGCAAAAAATATGAATTTAAATGCTATTTCGTTTTTTCTTGAATAAATATATGGAGAAATAATAATCTTCAATCAAACTTTCAAATACATTTACAGTCAAACTAGACTAGTTGTAGGATTTATAGCTTCGTGAACTGGAGGTACCCAGTTCGATTAAAAACCATGACAAACCCAAGGACGCTAAAATTACGGAAAAATAATTCAAAATTATGCAACCATTTATCAAAATATTTCTTAATAGAAGAATATACTCATACAAAGAGTTTAAAATCATTTATTAGAAACTGCGTTTTCATTCTGACTAAAGTTACCTTGTCCTGTTTTCTAAATAATGCTTTCGTATCTACAACAGTATTATCATATCCGTGCATCCCTTTATGTTTTCCCAGTTATAAGTAATACTCCTTTTTTTAAAATTACAGAAATTCAATTTTACAATAGTTTCATTAATGGTGAATTGAAATTAGACAAAAAACCTTTCGATAATAATTCTTTAAGCCATACAATTAGTTTTATGATTTGACCATGAATTATAACTTATAGGAGAATTGATGTACTGGTATTTTAAGTATGAAATCAGAAAGCATGATTTTGATACATTTTGAGAATCAACAGTACAACGAGTAACATTATGAAATTAACGGTTATCTGTGATCAGTTTTTGGCCAGAACAATTTAATTTGATGGCACCTGAGGCATCCAAAATATACAAAATAAAAGGCATCCAAGACGCAAGAGACTGTTTTGTTTGCTATAGATTTGTGGTTTGGTTTCCTAGAATATTTTCATGAAGTTTAATGAACTGAAGAGCGTTTTTATTGCACTTACTTTGAGATTCAAACATATATTCCTTAATAGCGGGTGTATAAAGACTATAAACGTATTTTTTTTATCTATGTGATGCGACCTCAGTATTTCCTTTTTTCGTTCTGGAAAGTCGATTCGTTTATAAATTAATGTTTTATGTAAACACTTGTACTTCTGTTTTAGGGAAAAAGTGCTTTCATAAAATTTAATAAAAGCTGTAAATATTTTAATCATTTTCTTTTTTAGATAAATTGAAAATGAGGAGGCATAGTTTGGAACAATAAATTATCTATCCACGAAAAACAAAGTCTGAAACTTGAGAAAGAAACAACGTGGAAAGCCCACAGAGTTATTCGCGATTTTTTTTCAATCCACTGTTCTCTAAAGCATTGATATCATATTATGTATACCTTCTGTCAAAAACAAACACGATGTCTGCATCTTTAAGCAAAGAAAATACTTTCGTATCCCGATTTCTTATCGTACGTCAAATGTACGATAGGTTTCTGGTATAAAAATTCTTACATGTAACAAATGTTGAAAACGATGATTAAAATCTTTATATCTTTATATTTACATTTCCAATGTCTTTGTCCGAGATAAAATTTCAAATAATAAAAATACTTTATTTCTACATAAATCTACTGGTTCATCGATAGGCGTGGCGAAAAAAAAACACGTGCGGGGCGGGACAAATAGAGACAGAAGCGTAGCTTGTAGCACGTGAATTTGCAGAATCAAGAGCATGTAAATATAAGGAATAACTGTCAGATTTATTGGTTTTATGGCCATGATCAATCGATTGGCTTGCACGCCTATCGATGAACCAGTAGATTTATGTAGAAATAAAGTATAAAGATGACCTCCCTTAGAACCTGGCGGGATAGCGCTTCCACAAGTGACTGAGGTGGGAATGGGCCTCTTGGTGCCCCAAACAAGAGTGAATGTCACACCAAATAAACGAATTCAAGCTCTAACTCGAGCTCTTACTCTTTACCTGCCTCATCTGGTATACAACAACTAGATGGGGATAATACCCTAGGGGTAGGCCCCAAACATTGCATTTGGTACCCGCTAGGATCAAGCTGGTCCCTCAGGTACCGCTGAGGTAACCCCCAAATCCTTCCCAGTTCTGAGAATAGATTACCCAGAATTCTGAGCAAGCCTCAAGAGAATTCCTCATTGCATTCAATATTCCTGGAATATATCTTTTACCCGTCAAAAAATAATGGGGATATGTTTATCTTGTGAACAACACTTTCCATACCACCCGTTTCTAAAAGAACACCCAAATTAAAGGAACTGTAGGTACAATGTACCTCTGTTAAGCCAAACTTGTTTGCAGGAACCTAATCCAAAACTCATGTCTGACATAGCAAAATTTTCAAACTTAACAGGACATGATTTAAGCAAGGTAACCCCTCTGCTCTATTTTCCCCACCGCAAGTTCGACTTAAAGATGATAATAGTTTCAAGTTGTTCCATTCAACCTAATCCAAAACTCATGTCTGACATAGCAAAATTTTCAAACTTAACAGGACATGATTTAAGCAAGGTAACCCTTCTGCTCTATTTTCCCCACCGCAAGTTCGACTTAAAGATGATAATAGTTTCAAGTTGTTCCATTCACATTTATATCTTGTCTAATCAGGATTTATTCCTATAAAAAAACATTGCTTCCATAAAGAAGATCAATCAATTAATGTAATAAGTGTCATTTTCTTCTGTTCACTTTTTGTAATTGATATCTGATTAACAAGTATCGTATACTCTTGCAACTTTTTATTCGAAAACGTCCTTGTTTGCTCTGCTCCAAATTTGTATTGTTTCAATGGACATTTGGGCTTGATTACTGTTCAAAATCTCATATCTCATTTATTTATTTCCAAGAATATAATTATAAATATTCTGTAATGCATGTTCATTTTTTTTTTTTATTAATTTACATATATTTTTCATAAGATCAATTGCAAACTGAATTGTCGACGGATTTTTCCGTTATTCCTGATCATGACAAGGAACACACAGCGGGTGTGACCGGTCGGCAGGGGATGCTCACTCCTCCATGGCACCTGATCCCACCTCTGATGTTTTGGAGGTCCGTGTTTGCTCTGCAACTATTTTATAATGTTTAATGGACTTTTGAGCTTGAATACTGTTCGTTATCTCCATATCTTTCATAGCAAATAAATTCAAAAAATGTGAAATTGAGTAAAATAAATGAAGAATGCTAACAAACATAATCATACAAACATTTATATGAGTATATGTTTTTTTCGAAAATACAAATTATGAAATTCTAATCCATATATAAATCTATCCTAGTATCAAAAATTAAAAAAAATTGATGAGAAATTGTACAATAAGCCCTAATTATATAAACAATATTAAACACTTTATGTCATACATGTATATTTGAAAAATGAACAAATGTAAAATAAACACATGAAATCAAAGATTACACAGCTGTCCTCAACTAATGTAATCTTTAATTTAGCTCTACACTAAACAATGTTCAAACAGTGCGCATCTCTAGATGTAATATTTAGCCGTCTTTACTGGTCTTGGTAGGAATTTTATTTACTTGAGAAAAAATGCTTCAAACGCTTTCTCAGTTAAAAAAACCCAGGAATACTAATGTAAGATTCAGCGTCCGAACCCTGTCTGGCAGTCTGGCAGTGTTAACACCTTAAATCATTTTTCATGCAACTTTGGTCAGCATGGAACTTACAGTTACCTGGGAATAAACCTCTTCAAAAACTCTTTTTGTCGAGATGAAGCTTATAGTTTCTTAAGAATTCACCCCCTCCAAATGTTTAATCATATGCAAAATTTAGCTCAGATTCAGAATCCGAAGGAAGTCTAACAGCTTACATCCCTGGATGCATCATCAATGCAAGCTTAGTCACCAAAAGATTTTAAGTAAATTGGAAATGGTTCTAACTACCCTGAAAATTCAATTTGGTCACTCTTCAAGAAAATGTTGGAAAATTTCTGAATTTTCTGAATTTTGTTAAACTTTTCATTATATCTTAGGCAAATTTTCTTTCAGAAAACACCGAATTTTCTTTCAGAAAACACTGTCTTTCTACGAAATTTACATAATTCATGAATCTGTGTCAGATTAATCTTGTGTATGAAAATCTTAAAAAGACAATCTTTTCCTCTGTGTTTCCATAGGAAAAGTATTTCAAATGTCACTAAATTGCATCAAAATTGAGGAAATTTGGGAAACTTTTCTAATTTGTCCCCCCTTGTGCCCTCCATTAGCAATGTGATTCAAAATCAAAGCTTATTTTAAAACAATGAAATATATGGAGATAACGAAAAG